ATTATATCTCAAGAAAACTGTGGATTTCCATGAGATTCGGTCCATTAACCGTTTTCGTCCTACCGGGTCCATTAATGTCCTGTTACCATCTGTGAGATTCGGTCCGACCGTTTTCCTGAGATCTCGGGAAACGTGCCATGGAACCTCGACAACGGTTCGTTAACCGTTTTCGTCTGAGCCTATCTGATCATAAATGTGCCGTTCCCATCTGTGATCTGCGAATGAGCTGTTGTTTCTCCGTCTCACATTATACTCCTGCATTAAATGGGCCGTTGACGAGCCACGTTAATGACACTCACCGCGGAAATCGCTGGAACACAGGCGCCGTACGGCGATTGTTGTCCCTCGCCGACTTGGCTCTCATCTTCGTCGAAAGACAAACATCGCCCCTCATTGGCCAACCGAATTTATCTTTTCACCGAATTTTGGCTTTGACTTTCGTACCTATGGCTCGACAATCGAGGAGATATGCCGGGACGACGATAGACTGTCGTTGTTCTTCCCGCCGCAATCGAGTCTGTCTCGACGGAGAGTCGGAGCTGTAGTGGATGGGAAATCTCCACGTTCCTCTGGTCGTAGATTTCTGAAGCCATTTCCGTCCTCGTTCCCCTATAAAGGGCGGGTCTTCCCCTTCTCAGGTTCCTCAGACTGTCAATCAGGTTCCTTGGTTGTCTGTATCATATCTCTTCCGCTTCATCGGAGAGGGCGGTATCATCAGTCTAAGCAACTGGGGGGCGGGGTTGGCCGTCTCTCTTCGGTTGTAGGCTTTCGGAGAGGAGTGACAGCTTGGTCTTCCGCCTTTCCCTGTGAGGGCTCCTCTCGCTCCCTGAAATTACTACTCTCTCTCTCTCTCTCTCTCTCTCTCTCGCTAATTCGATTCTAATGGCAGCCACTGCTCGCGGCCTTGCTCCCACTGTTCCGCCCATTCCTGCTGATCATAGGGCTGTTTCTTCGTACATTGCTTTAACTCTTTGCTTCTGACGCGGATTTAGAGATCACGTGTCTCTCCACCTTCCTTGATTGAAACCCCTCATGCAACGAGGGCAGAGCCCGGCCGAGTCCCCCCTTTCCTTCCAGGGTGTCCTGCGGAGAATAACTCACCCCGGAGATGCCTTCGGTGACATCCGACTGTAGATGTCGCAGTTTATCCAATTGGGCATTCGATGGGTTCGGAGAGTGTTTTCTCTTGCCTCTGCCCCACTCCCTGATCAGACTCTGGCCCTGCTTGCTCTCGTCTCTTCGCAGCCGACGAGGGACCCTGGTCGTCGCAAACGTCTAGAACTCACCTGCGAGAGATTTTTCGATTCCCGGCGGTCGTTTTCTCCTCGGGTTTCAACCAGCCGTTCTTTGCTGAAGCTTCGGATATCTGTGAAAAGCCGAGCTGGCCGCCGCATCGCGGGGATTTCGATCAATTCTCTCTCTTGCTCGCTCAGATTTCGTCCCAACTCGGCACGTCCTTCGCATTTCAAGGCTATGAAGACTCGCTGACGACTGAAAGATTTTCTCTTTCCAGGGCCTGCTTTTTTCTCAAGCCCTTCGGAGAAGATGGGAATCTTTCACCAGGATGCCGTCATCGAGGAGTTCGAAGCGCTGACCAACAACGTGGGGAAGGTCCAGAGGGAGACCCTCAAGATGATCCTCGAAGAGAATAGCGAAGCGGAATACCTGCAGAGCCTGGGGCTGGGAGGGCGAACCGATCCCGAGAGCTTCAAGGCCTGCGTTCCCCTCGTCTCCCACCCTGATCTGGAAAGCTATATTCGCAGAATTGCAGCTGGGGAGTCTTCTCCCATTCTCACTGGGAAGCCCATAACATCCATTACCTATACGTAAGACCTTCCCGCTGACATGTCCACGGGTGCTGGGCCTAGTTCATTTCCCCAGCTGGGATTTATTATCTGCTGCTTCTGACATTACTTGTGCTGTCCGACGCTTCCAGCTCTGGAACCACCCAAGGGAGGCCCAAGTACGTCCCTTTCAATGACTTTCTGATTCAGAATACGATGCAGGCATTCCGAACGTCGTTTGCTTTCAGAAACAAGTAAGCGGCTCATCTCTCTCCTTTAAGAGTTTAGGTATTCTTCTAGTTTCGATGATCTATTTTTCTCTCCTCCTTTTTTATTCGTCTGCCTCGAGTTTGAACTGGGTGATTTCTGGACGAGGTCTGCAGTCTGATTACCCCGTTCGGTGGCTTGTGTTTTCTAATCGACTGGAGCTGCACCGGGAGAGGCTTAGCCGTTGGGTTCTCGAGTTTTTTTCTCTTTTTTTGAAGTCGATTTTCCCTGAACTTGAGATCTACCTTTCGTGAGCGATTTTCCAAGAAATCCCATTTCCATTTTTGGGGTTCACTTTGTCGGTATCCCTCGTCGGACTCAGTGAAGAGAGTGCGGGGTATAATCTAGTTTCTTTCCCAAAAATATTCATCGCGTCCCCCCAGATATTCATTTAATCGACTGTGATCCCATGGCGGTTCTGCTCTCTCTTGGATCCGCCGGCTGGTTGTAAAAACTTGAGCAGTACCACCGTCAAGTGCATTGTTAAATAATCAGTAGTCCAACGGCGCTGATTCTGTGAAGGCGTACGATGTTCCTCGAGAGTTCTCTTGAATGGATGCCCGACCCGTTTTCGTTCTGTTTTCTAGGGTGTTCCCCCTTGGAGATGGAAGAGCCCTGCAGTTCATCTACGGCAGCCAGGAAGTTCGGACGAGCGGGGGCATCGTGGCCTTCAACGGCACCACAAACATCTTCCGCAGTGAGCAATTCAAGCGCACCATGAGAGACACCCAGTCTCAGACCTGCAGCCCCTATGAAGTCATCTTCGGCCGTAGCTTCGAGCAGTCCCTCTACTGCCATCTCTTATGCGGGCTTCTCTCATACCAGGAGGTCCAGTTCGTCTCTTCCTCCTTCGCCCACTGCATCGTCCAGGCATTCAGAACGTTCGAGCTTATCTGGGAAGAGCTCTGCGCGAACATCAGGGATGGGGTCCTCTCTAGCAAGATCACGGACCCTTCCATGAAGGCCGCCGTCTCCAAGCTGCTGACCCCCAATCCCCGGCTGGCGGACGAGATCTACACCAAATGCAAGGGCCTGAGCAACTGGTTTGGGTTGATCCCCGCGCTCTGGCCGAACGCGAAATACGTCTATGGCGTAATGACCGGGTCGATGGAGCCATATCTGAAGAAGCTGAGACATTATGCCGGGGATCTCCCGCTCTTGAGTGCCGATTATGGGTCGTCGGAGGGCATGATCGGGGTTAACATCAATCCTGAGCTTCCCCCTGAGGAGGTGAGGTTCGCGGTGATCCCCGACATCGGGTACTTCGAGTTCATCCCCATTGCGACGAAGAGCGGGGAGAAGCCGGCCGTAGAAGCTGAGCCGATCGGTCTCGAGGAGATCGAGCTCGGGAAGGAGTACGAAGTCATAATCACGAACTTCGCCGGTGAGTGTTGCAGGCGTCGACTGTTATCGGTAGATAAATGAGGATTTGTCGTAGGAGAAAGTGTTCCAATCTTCCTTCCTGTTGTTTCGCGTGGTGGTGCAGGTCTGTACAGGTACAGGCTGGGAGATGTGGTGAGGGTGGGGGGCTTCCACAACAGCACGCCGGAGCTCCAGTTCGTGTGCCGCCGCGGCCTGGTGCTCAACGTCAACGTAGACAAGAACACGGAGAGGGACCTGCAGCTGGCGGTGCAGGAGGCCTCCAAGCTGGCGGCGGCTGAGAAGCTGGAGGTCGTCGATTTCTCCAGCTGCGTTGACCGCTCGGCGGAACCCGGTCACTATGTCATCTTCTGGGAGCTCTGCGGCGAGGCCAGGGAAAGCGTCCTCCGCAGCTGTGCGGACTGTTTGGACCGCTCCTTCTTAGACGCCGGTTACAAGTGCTCGAGGAAGGCGAAGGGCATCGCCCCACTGGAGCTCCGCATAGTCCGGCCAGGCACCTTCCGTAAGGTCCTCAAGCACTACACCAACCAGGGCGCTGCCATGAGCCAGTTCAAGAACCCGCGCTTCGTCGGCGCCACCAACGCGGCGGTCCTCCGCATCCTCTGCGACGGCGTCGTCCAGAGCTTCTCCAGCACGGCCTACGACTGAGGCGGCCGTCGCAGGGTTGTTGTAACCACTACAAGCGTGTGGGCTGTGATCAGTGGTGGGAGCTCGCTCATCGTCGAGGTCGGCGCCGCATCTTCCCACCGTCTGGCCCGTCCATCGAGCCATCCATTGCACGTGAATGGGATGTCGTAAGGAAAGCTGACTCCCGTGATATTTCTGGTCGTAGGACGTTGCGTAGATTCGTCGTGTTAAAGCTACGCTGCATGGAGATCATAAGAAGGTCGGTTGTAAGGAAAGTTTGCCCATTACTTAAAATATCGTTGGGACACTTGTTCGTATCTTGTTGTGGCTGTGGCCATATTCAGACAGTTTTGGGTTTGGGCCCGCGGACATAAATGAGAGCGGCTACATCTCGGGAGACAGATTTCCTTTCTAACGACACACGTGGGGTGCAAAAGAAGCTCGTCGAGTCAAAGTCAGAGACGCCCGGAGTCCCACCGCACGAGATCAGCAAACTCCCAAAACAGCAACGAAACTAATCCTGCTCACCATCCTCCTAGATTACCGAGTACATCGTCAATTTATTCGTCATCTTAAGCCTGTGATTATCTTCCCCAGCCATCCAGTCTAGAGCTTGAATATTTTCTGTACCCATCTCGAGAGAGAAGCTGACCCTCGTCGAAGAAGATGCTTCGGAATAGCCTGTAGTTTCGGATCGGAGGAACGAGTCATAGCCTGTAGTTTATTTGACTCACCTTCGTAATTATCGTACAGACACGTATGGTACAGTTAGCTCTCCGGTCCAACGAGACTCGGAGTTCGCTCCCCACTCTCACGAGAAGAGCTGAGGCGGGCCTCGCTACTCTCGTTCTCTCTTAATCGACTGCACGGCTGAGAGTGAGAGTGAGTGAGCGAGTGAGTAGAGAGAGAGAGAGAGAGAGAGAGAGAGAGAGAGAGAAAGGAATGAGAATGCCAGCGTGAAGGGAGAATTGCAAACCTTGAACGGTGACCTAAACTGTACCAAACAAAGCCTTCTTGCCTCCCAGATTGAGAATGGAAAACTTAGGAAAGATTTAGAGAAATCCATGCGATTACAAGCTATAATTTGCCAAAAGTATGAAGCTCTCATTCTTGAAAATTTTTAACGGTCCTGAAGAAGTTGGGAGAGGCAGGTGGACTTGTAGAAACGTACAAAGTCGAAGGTGAAGGATTGAAATATGAGATATCAATCTGAAAACATGCAAATAGAGTTTTAAAGCAGGTACTGGAAGCTGTGGTACTGCCAGTGGATGATCTAAATCGGAAACTAATATCCAAAAATGAACAAAAAGGCTCCTTAGGCTCTGAAAATGCTACATTATTAGATAAGATTGAGCTGGCAGATAAAATTGCTAGGGATCTCAGAGCTGAATCTGACCTGTACTTGAAAATAGCAAATGAAAGGTCAGCTGAGAATGCAAAGCTGGTGGCAGAGAATGAAAATCTGGAGGCTGAAAAGGAAGCAGCTACTAAACAGATGGTCGATCTGGTCAAGAGATGTTTAACGTTTGAGGAAGATGCCAACACCCTGAAGTCTGAAATGCAAGGGATCACATTGAAGATGGAAGTGCACGAGAAACACCCATCGAAAAACTGATGACAGAATGTGTAACTCTTGAAAGATGAAAAATCAAGACTACTGGGCGAAAATTAAGGCTTGAACTCGCAGACGAGACCCATCGGTGATGAGAGAGCGTCATTTTCTTTGGAGCACGATGAGGCTGTCAATAAGTTAAAAAAGATTCAAGAGAACGCGGACATAGTGTCAAAAGAGTTAGAAATATCAAATATTGAGAAGACTGAGCTGCAGGTTAAGTATGATGGCCTCAATACGGAATTAGAAGGCCGCCGCTACCTGTGAAGTGTCCGACCTGAGGAAGATAATACGAGCATTACGAGAAGACAAGTCGGCAGCTTCCATAGAAAATTCCGTCCTTTTGAGCAGGACACTAGCATTTGAGAATGAGATGCATGAGTTAAAGGCCGATAAAGAACGCCTCGAAAGTGATAATTCTGTCTTAAAGGAGAAAATTGATGATCCTGCTCACAAACTAGAATCTGTCGAAGAAGCAAAAAACATGCTGGAATCAGAGAAAGCATCGGCACTAACCAAACTCGGGGAATCAGAAAGCAGCCTAAAAAGGATTATAGATGAAGCAGAACAACTGAGGAAGGAGATTCGTGTATTTCATAAGGATCAGCTTGACTCACAAGTTAAGCTGTCTGATCTTGAAAAGCAGTTTCAGGACAAAGAGGCCGACTTCTTATCTCTTGAGCAGAAGCTTGAAGAAGCGATAGCTGAGATATAGACTTCGACAACTTACGCAAGCAACCTGCAATAGCAGTTGATACAGCGTTTATCCAGATCAACGAGTTAAAAGAACCGGTGAAGACTATGACTAATGAGGCTACGGAGAAGCAAAGTCTCGCAGAGAAGTTGGAAAGTGAACTCACAGGCAAAGTCCTCACGCAGGAGATGATGTTGCAAGAGCAGAAGGTTTGTCTCGATGAGTTGTCTGCAAACTATAAGTTTCTTGGGAGTTAACTCCTAGAGTCTTCCAGCGATCTCGAGGTTTCACAAGGGAGGATTGTCGAGCTAGAGAAAAGGAGATAATTCTGTCGCTATAGGGAGTTGTCCAGGAACAGAAACTACAGCTGAATAGATTGGAGGAGAACTTCTGTTGAGAGGGCATATGTCAAATAATACTGTCTGATAATCTATTTTTGTAATTTATTGGGTATAAAACCCTAACTTTCCCACCCAAATCGATGAATCGTCTTTTTCTTCACTGTCTGCTCTCCTCCGCCGCAGGTGCTCCTCGGAGGTAGGTCACAGCTGTGGCGACCTCACCTCGTCCCTCTCTCCCGTCTCTCCCTCTCTCCCTCCCTCTCTCTCTCTCTCTCTCTCTCTCTCTCTCTCTCTCTCTCTCTCTCTCACACACACACACACACACACACACACACACACACACACACACACACAAACGCACACAGCTCGTTTGCTACCTAAAGGGGGAGCCTCGTCTCATTACCCTCCAACAAGCGAGGGCCTCATCTCGTCGGATCGTGGAAGCTAGTCTATCCTGCTGCCCATGCTTACTCTCTCTACGTGATCAACCTCCATCTCAATTTCTTCATGGTATGAAAGCATTGTTCGATTTAGAACAACTCTGTCGGTAACCTCTTTCCGCTGCCCAATTAATATAGATTATAATCACCTCCTAGTTATAATATTGATTTTAATTTTTCTATGCATAATACCATGTTGCTATTGACTGTTTTGATTCATAAAATCATATAGTGACTACATTCTACTTATTTTGAAAATGAATATGGGGCTCATCTTCCTCTATGGCCTCACAAATAAACTCTCCTCCTCAATGAGACGAGGACTTATAATGTCAGACTCACACTTACAAATTACTCCACAGAAGTTGAATGAGCACAAGTTCACTACTTGGGCTACCACAACACAATTAGATATTAGAGCTAGGGACAAAATTGAGTATATTTGTGGCTTGGCTATTAAGCCCTCATTGATAGACCCACATTATAAAATATGGTTCCGTGAAAACAGTTTGGTTATGTTGTGGATATTGAAGTCGGTTGATACAAATATTCAACGAGTAATCCTACACAAGTGGAATGCTCATGAGATGTTGAGTACTTTAGAGGTAATGATTCACACCTGGAGGACTTTAGCATGTTTACCTAATCATTCTATCTAGTATGTTGACCCACTATGTCAACCCCAATAAGCCTATATAGACTCGTTTCTGACTGTGTAGACCTACTATACCCAGATTTAGTAGAAATTATTTTAAAATATACAAAATCTTGAAACCTATTAAATTCTAAGTTGGTTAGTGCTATTAAGTCCATTGATGTCAGTTGAAGTCGTATAGACTTCAATGCAAATTATAAAACTTCAATGGAACCTAAATATGTAGTCGTCACAGATTGGAGTACGTATAATAGACCAAATCATTATAAGCTATGTGTTTATGGGAGTCTAAAAGGATTCAAAGAAAATTTCATTGATATATACAAATGTGCTTCAGTAATCTCCTGAAGAAGAGATAACCGACATGTGCTGCAGAAGGGCGCCCTACTCGAGCTGATGAACCCCGCCCGGGGTGCCAACTTGTCGATGAAGCTCAGCATCTCAGACGTGGACTCCGGTACCCTGCTAATAAGTGGTCTCGGGCCGAAGGCGGTTGGACATTGGAGGGTGCTCTGGTGTTGGTCAGAGAACGCCAGGCGACTTAATGGTTTTCTGGAGTTGTTGCGAATGTCGCATGTTTCCGCTGGTTAAGAGTTGACGGCTTCCTTATAGAGGAGTGGTCAGATGTAAATAAAGCTGACGCCGCGCTAAGTTGGTGATCTAATTTCACCTTAAATTGCGAGCCACAAGAGAGAGAGAGAGAGAGAGAGAGAGAGAGAGAGAGAGAGAGAGAGAGAGAGAGAGAGAGAGACTTCGGAGGATATTTTAGTGCGAGCCACTGAACTAAAGGATCATGTGTTTTGGGAGTGTTAATGGGTAGTGCCTGTGGGCCCGGTTTACCGGTTATTGGCTCGTATATGGGCTCGTAGACACTCGTCAGTGCACCATGTGTCAGCAGATCTGGCCTTATAATATATATATATATATATATATATATATATATATATATATATATATATATATATACGGAGGGAGGGGGAGAGAGGGAGAGAGGGAGAGAGAGAGAGAGCTGTGCTTTGCTGTCCCACACTGATTTTTGATTTTCATACAAGTCGGTGTGGATAAAATTGAACATTCTTACGTCGGTGCTTCCAAAGTTGCCAACGCGTTCATTTATCTCATGGAAGGTGGCTTGCTCGAAAGCCCCCCCTCTGCATGGAAGTGGGGCTGTCTCCGCTGTCAATATCTGACCATCAGTGAAGGTGGCACGCTGTTTATTTACAAGCCAGCGAACGTTGGAAAAGGAAGCACGCAATGGCGGGTCCTCATCGGAAAAAAATACTTGCTGTGCAGCGGTCGTAAGGCTGCTGCGAGTGGCACCATTCATCCACCAACCCGCTCGATGTATATTTTTCAGGTAGATCCGTTGACAAGTTCTTCCCTGCGATTAGTGCGGGGTTTTCCGGAATCGCTCGATTGCTGCCAAGATCCCTGATTAATTTGGGAAATTGGCTAAGACTCGGAACAATTTTTAAAAAATAAACCCTAAAAAATAGTTCGAAATGGTCGTTGTGTCATGCACCTTCAAAATAGTTCCACCTTAAGAATATGCCAAATAGGCACTGGCGTAAAACCTGTCAAATGGTCCTCATCTATTAAAATAAGTTTCTAATCAGCCCAAATATCTATCAAATGGCCTTCATCAGGCTTTGATCCGAAAAGCTATAAGATAGGCAGCATATTATACGGCCTTGAACAAACTTTAGCCTTTGATGATAATAAATAGCGGTATAATTAACTTTAAAATACTGAAAAGAATATTTAATAAAAACATTGTAAATACCAATAATTATGTCTGTCAGCACATCATGTACATTTTGAGACAATAAAAAATCAATAATTAATACATCAGAATAAGGTATAAAAATACCAGACTATTACTTTATCTATGTGGTCTGAAATAGTACATTACTTTTCAAGAGATTTACATAACATTATAAATAATAAAATACATCCACATTTACATCATCATAATTAGAAAAAGTTCTTTTCCTTTCTATTTTTCGTTTGTCCCAAAACATTTAGTACTGTTAGAGAGATAATATGACAGTCATGTGTATTGGCAATAGTCTTTTAAATACAATTATCATAGATATCATCCCCTTTATTGTCAACAACAAAGTTAAAAAGGATGGAATACAACAATCATAATGGCCAAGATAGCCCGAGTGCTAGATAGATATGTTAAAAAAAGTCAATGTTCTCCTCAAGAGAAGATTGAATATTACAGCAAAAGTGGAATGTTAGTTCTTGTAAAATAGAAGCAAGAGCATGCATTAATGGAGTGAGAATTATAAGTTGAGAAGGTTAAGCAGAAAGTCTCTATTAGAGAATGTGAATGCGAGATAGAGAAAAGAATGGATAATGCTACCAAGGTCGATTGATCAGATGGCTAACTACTTCATTGTTGGCAAGAGTAAGTCTAATAAATTAGGTTTTAATCAAATAAGTCAACATGAAAGTAATTTAAATTTTTTGGTAATTAATTTATTGTAAGTAAGATAATTAAGAGTTTATTTATTGCCAAGCATATAGTCTAATATAAACTGATGCAATGGATACTTATTTCGTTTAAAAATTACCTTAAAAAAAGCTTGAGCTCTCATACATTCCAATAGAAATTTAATGGAAAACAATTACTCATTAAAAACACAAATTATATGCTTTTTATAAGAAACAAGCACAAAATAAATTCGAAATATGTACGGAATCCAAGCTTATTGAACTTTTAATACATAAAAGGACAATTGAAGAGGAAGAATAGTGGGCCAACTAATATTCATATCATCATATGTTGGAACATATGATCTAAGATTATTGCTACTTCAATATAAGTTGGAATTCTGCTCAGAGATAAGGTAATAAATTTCAGCAAGTTTGAATTAGATATACTTCAATCTCTCACCGAGCGTAAGCGGACTTGTTTTTATGAGCGCTGTTAGGGATGTCTTGATAGTATGTTCATATAAACATTTATCATCTAAAATCTCTCACCGATCTACCCCTTCCGTGAGGTCGTCACCCAAGTTGGCAACAGCTCCCGTCTCGCCTGGCCGGCAACAGCAGCCGCGGCTGGCGGTCTTCACCGTCGTGCTTTCGCGCGGACGAGGAGTTTTAAAATTCCTAATTATCCGCTATCGCGCCGTTGAACTCGGACAACTCCCTCCCCCAGACGGATTCCTACACGCTGGCACCACCCTAAAGTCAGAGCCCCCCTCTGCTCCTTATTACCTCTCTGTTCTCGGTCAACGCCGCATGGCGTCAACTCCATCCCCGGCCATCCCTCCCTCCCTCCCTCCCTCCCTCTCACCTGCTCGAGGAGACCACGGGGAGTCCCAGTTTGCTTCGTTGCTCACCCCCAACCTCCCCGTTCTTCCACCGGAAGGCGGCGCGACGAGGACGGTGCGCGAGATGAGAGCAGCTGGTCCGGCGGGGCTCCCCCGAGCTCTGTTTCTTTTCCTCCTCTCGGCGGCGACTCTGAACTGTTGTCTCCAGGGCCCGGGAGCCCACGGGCAGTCTCTCCCCAGGAGGAACGTGAGTTATGCCATCCTCCTCCGCTCTGCTCCTCCTCGCAGTGGGATCGCCAGGAGCTGCTCTCTCTCTCTCTCTCTCTCTCTCTCTCGCTCTCTCTCTCAATCTCAACTTCTCTCTCGTCCTCTCAAGCCTGGAGGGTGTGGCGACCATCGCTCAGCTTTCTCGGGGCAAAAAATTTCCTCTCTTTGCCCGCATCGAGTAAGAAATTCCCTAAGAAATCTCAAAACTTTCAAAACATATTCAGATACAGAACCATCTTCGACCTCCATTCGCAATAATGCCGATATCAGGAATTTATTTTTCCATTATTACAAAAAGTAAAACATTATTATAGATACTATTTATTCCCTGTAACTGCATCTCTCTCTCTCTCCCCTCTGTATATATATACAAATATATGTAATTCTAATAACCGCCGGTGGCAACCGCGCGGGAACGTTCAGTCGAAGCGCTCCAGCAGATCGCTTTAAAGCTGAAGATATTGGAGTGGGACTTCGACAAAGATCCTTGCACCCAATGGCCAAAGGAAAGCAGTGACCTCTACGTCCACAATGTCACCTGCCAGGAAATCACCACGACCACCACGAACGCGACCACGAATGCGACCACGAACACCACCGCCTGGCATGTCGTCAGCATGTATACCCCAGCCGCTGTCCCCTCCTGAGTGGCATTCCCGTTATCTGGTCTCGTCGATGTCCGACTATAGCTGATTCGTTTTTGTTGGGACGAAATTGTGCTCAGCGAAATCAAGGGGGCTAATATGACCGGGGTGCTGCCGGATGAGTTCGGCAGGCTCAGTCACCTATCCTCGATGTAAGTTCGCCGTCCAAATGTCTTGTGTTTCTCCATTCTTTCTTTCGAAAATTGAGGAACCAAACCCCGCTCTCAATTTTTGTAACCTCTGAATCGGCGGAACTGGACAGTGACCTCTCTCGGAACTACATCAAAGGCTCCATACCCGCCGCTAATTGGACTTCCCTTCCCCTGAAAATCTTGTAAGTCACCACCATTCCGATCCTTCCATCCCCGTCAACGCAAAGTCGATTTCTTTATTCCGCATTCTAGGAGGTGGCTGATCTAACCAAGGGCTTTGTTGTTTACCATTGCAGAAACCTTCTGGCAAACCGTATCTCAGGTGCGATTCCTGAGGAGATAGGCAAGATTGGAGCGCTTGAAGTCCTGTAAGGACGTTATATCCTGTTCGTTGAAGACATTTTATCACTAACCGGAATTATATATTGGTAATAGATGTTGATCGACATGTTTTATTCTTATTGCATGCTTTAATTGAAGTTTCCTGGAGAGCAATATGCTGCAAGGGCCTCTTCCTCGTACCCTCGGAAGTTTGACCAACTTAAGCAGACTGTAAGCGCATAGTTTACGGAAGATTGTTCTCCATTAATTGAATTGTCTCCTTTACGTGAATCAAAGAGAAGAGAAGAAACTGTAGGTAGAATCATCGTAACTTATGTGACTAGTTAAAGAAAATAAGTGACACCGGTTTACGCCATTTCAGCCTTCTTCCCTGCAACAACTTTTCCGGTGAGCTTCCAGAAACACTGGGCAACCTAAGGAACTTGACAGACGTGTACGGTTCCTGCTCTTATATTTGTTGGATTCTATCATGAAATTAGGAACTATTTTAGAATTAATTATCGGTGCGGGGTAATGTTTTTCAGTAGGCTAGATGGAACCGAGATATCAGGGAAGATACCAAGCTTCATTGGGAACTGGACCAAACTAGACAGACTGTAAGCTCACCTGTCTTTATGTTTCCTTTCCCAGCGCAGTTTATCATCTGAAGAGGATATGCTTACTATATGGCATTCTCATTGGGTATAGTACATTTTTCTAATCTCGCAGTGACATGCAAGGAACACTTATGGAGGGTCCATTTCCACCCGAGTTCTCTTTATTGCAGAGCATAACGGAGTTGTGCGTGTGACTCTACTCTTTTCCCGTAATCAGGGCCGTTGTCTGTGGTAGTTCAGTATAGTGATAATAGATATGTTGGCTTTCCTTTTGTAGGAGAGTCTCTGACCTGAAAAATGCGGGCGGTAGCTTCCCTCCCCTTGAGAAACTGATAAATCTGGAACAATTGTAAGACTGCGAACGGCATTTATCCATCCGCATTAATATACTTTTGACGATTTGTTGATTGGTTTTCTGTGTGAACAATGTCAGGGTCCTCCGAAATTGCTCAATTTCTGGCAGCATCCCGGATTACATTGGCACATTTACTAAACTGCAAACCCTGTACAGCTCCTTGAACCCAAATGTTTGCATAATATATGTTGTTTAAATGGTGATCATGTTTGCATTTGACAGTTTTGAGATATTTTAGGCTAAAAGTCAGTTTCTATGATGCCCTGAACGAGCGGTGATATGCTGCATCTTTGCATGGGTTAAGAACATCTGCATGTGATTGGCATGCTTATGTTAGGGCTCAGCAGTGTCTTAGGGCACTACCCAGAATAACTTTGGACTTCCTCCCATGATGTATATTCTTGATTTGAAGCCATCAGTGAGCATGGATTTGAGTACAATCCTCTTTTTCTGGTCTGTTTATTTCCCAAACGAAGTTTAGGCGTCGATCTTGGCGCATATATTTGATCCAGGAACCCTTGTCTGACGATAGTACGTACATTGCCATTGATGTGGTCCTTCATAGCGTAGTTGCTAATTTCTCCTCTTCACCGCAAATTGTTTCAAAAAAAGGCTGTAGTTGAAAACTTAGATATATCATATGCCAGCAAAGAAGTCTGATGCACAAATTATCAGAGGTATGTAAATTAATTCAGATCTGCACTCCATTCTGGGGTGGAACGTACGTTAATAAATGAGAATGTGGTCGTTACAATTTTAGTGGTATCAACCTTAGCAATTATTCCATGGTATGTACCTGCAAACAACCCTTAACAGGTTGGGAATTTTTACTAACCTTAATATTAAGAACTATTCACAGAAAATGAATGATTTTTTTGGTTAAAATTCTTGCACTCTTTTGGACTGCAAACTAGAACAATTGTTGATGTCATGTTTACTTGCACACTTATTCTGCATCAATGATTTCATCCGCTCTTCTGGACTTCAAACTAGAACAATTTTTGATGTCATGTTTACTTTGCACGCTTATTCTGCATCAATGATTTCATGCAGCCATTGCTCATACTTTTTGATAAACCTGTGCTGCGGAGATCTGAGCTTTAATAATTTCACGGGTGAAATACCAGGAAACTTTGAGAATCTTAGAAGGTTAACAACTATGTAAGTGACTGTGTTCGCTTTACTCAATGGTTCAACTAAATAACCTGCCGAAAATCAGGACATCCATACCTTTTTCTTTGTATGCAATATTTTCGTAATAATTTTATCATATTGCACATTTTTAATTTTTCATCATCAGGTACCTTACAAGCAACAAACTTACGGGATCAATACCTGATTGGATTAAGAGAGGCAAACAAAATATGTACGTTTGTCTTGCTGGAAATTTCTTAAATTTCATGTCCGAATAAGTTTTTGGTTGCGTAAGAATCATCTTCACAATATAACGTTAAAATTTCAGAGATATCTCTTACAATACATTCACCGATGTTTCATCTGCGCCAGATAACTGTGAGCAAGAATCAACGTAAGCATGTTTTTGTCTGGCGGACATATGGAATTGAATTCTTGTTTTTGGAAGTAAATAAGGTTTACATTACTTGCAGGAACTATGTTGCCAGCTTTTCGTCGACCACAAGTGACTCGTAGGTTTCTGACATTGTTGAAGTACATATTATATTATGGGTATCTCAGGTGTCCAAATCATTAATTCTCTCCATTTAACCTTTGCAGGATAGCGTCATGTTTAAGAAAGGACCTCCCGTGTGATGGCACACCTAAAAGTGGGTATAAATCTCCTTTCTAGGAACAACTTCTTGACCTTTCAGTTGGATTTTTTCTTTTGCGGGGTTGGAGTAAAACAACCCTATGATTTGAAAGTCTGACTTACGAACATGACGTTCTCTTGATTAATTTTTTATTTAACTTTTTGGAATTTCTGCAGACTATAACCTTTTCATAAATTGTGGAGGCGAAAGTGTGACTGTTGACGGCAACGAATATGAACGTGACACATCACCGGAAGGCGCATATCCAAGTTTAAGCTTTCTAGCAGCGGAAAGTGGGCTTATAGCAGTACAGGAAACTTTATTGGGGGAGGAAGCGACGCATCATTTGTAGCAGAAGCTACATCATTATTGACAATGACCAATGCAGAATTGTACAAAACTGCTCGTTTGAATCCGCTCTCTCTAAAATACTATGGTCTATGCTTGCAGCCAGGAAGTTATACAGTCCAACTGCACTTTGCTGAAATAGTTTTCACTTCTGGCCGGACATTTGTCAACGTTGGAAGGCGTGTGTTCGATGTATCAATCCAGGTCATTTAGATTCTTTGGACTTACAATCTTGATGAATGCATATAGTTTATTATTCCTCTTATCCTACAGACATCCATGATACTGTTTTCGATGACTTCCGGACAATCATTCCTGATTATTTTATCCCACAATGTCACCCACGTTGGTCATTTAGTGTCATATCTGCTGATTCTTATCTTTGCTTCGTTCAAACATGCGGCTGTGAATGAAGACAGGATACATGATATCATTTGTTGCATAGGAGAAATCATTTTTGTAACACTTTTCAATTGTGTATTGGTATTCAGCTATTCCCTTTTCTCTTTTCATGGGTGTTTGTTTCTGAGTACTTGTGCATTGTACTATAGTCTTTGTCTTTCTTCTCAATCCTCTCGTAATACCGTCAATGACTCGTTGGGGGCGAAGGATACCATTCAGGCACCGGTTGAAGGCCCGTTCTGTCCTCAACAGCCTCAGGAGCACTGTGACACTCCCAGAACCTCACGAACACATGGAGAGATCCAGGGCAGACAGAGGAAAGCGTCTGCATAGGAAGGTGTCGAAAGGAGGAAGATCTAAACGGAGAAGGTTCTCCAGGCCTCTCCCTCTATAAAAGGGGAGAATTTCGCTCTCCGCAAGACAAGAGAACTGAAGAAGAAGACGGAGACTGCGGAGAGGGTCTAATATGCAGGAGAGGGGAAGCTCCGGAGTGAGAAGGGCAGTGCTCATAGGGAGCTGAGGAGGCTGTGGTGCGACGGCAACAGGAGACAAGTCGGCTGTAGGCTGATAGAGAGCTGGAAGCCGGTAATACGAGAAGAGCGATCCCGTTGGGATCTTCTCCCTCTTATGTACGTACTTCTTGAGGTAATACAAGTACCTTGGTGAACTCCCTCGCAGCAGGTTCTTGGTGAGTTCCGCAGGTGACGTTGAAGGGTGCTCGACGTTGACTGAGCAACGGTCGAGGCCAGTCTCGGGCGAGAAAAAGGCCAGAAACCTAGAGCCACCGGAGCCTAGCACCAAAGAGGGGGCTACACTCCATTAAATCGGGCCTCTAAAGGAGATGGAGAGAGATATTTTATCAAAGAGGTGAATTTGGGTCTTTCTAGGGTTTTGTTAGGGTTTACTATAAGACAGATATTGGGGCATATTGAGCTGTTTTGGACCCAATACTATTAATGGGCTGGATGTTGGGCGAGTGAGTTTGGGTCATCGAGGTGTTGATTCAAGCATCAGTGCTTGACAGAGACGGCGGCATCCACAAGTGAGGATGGTGGTAGCACAGGTGGCAGCCGTTCTTCAGGAGAATCGGGTGAAGATGCGAAGGAGTGATGATTTTGATTGTTGGGATGTGCAGTCTGAAGGTAGTAGGGATGGTGAGTGAGAACTAAACGGGTATATTCATTTGATCTGATTGAATCTTTTGTCACCAGAACTGCATTTGTGTAGTTTGGAACTTAGGGTACTTTGATGTCTTCTAGTTGAGATTTGGATCATCATCAAAAGAAATGAAAACACGTAGTATTGTGTTAGGATTTTGGAGTCTTATGCATGGTACTAGAGTACATATAATGGAACAGTTTGTCTCTTTGTAGCGCTTTAGCTCACTGGCTATTCAATGGAGAGGGAGGGTGAACAACGAGGTAAAAATGATATTGGTATTTCAATCCAAGGTTAAGTGATGCTCAATTGTTTTTTGAGGCTTTGATGAAGACTCGAGAATGATTTTTAGCTAGTGGAATCAATTTTTGATAGGATTTTAAGAGTGGATTAGGGTTTAACAGAGGTATGAGAGAAGGGATTGTTAGCATTTTTTATAGGAATAATGTTTAAATGGCTTTCATAGAGGTCAAATTTGAAGTGGGTTGTTTACTATAAAATTGAAATTTGATTTTGACAGTCACTTAGTGCCGATCAGTGATTTGTATGTGTGAATGAGGGCAATATGTGTCAAACATTGTTGTGGCTTATGTGCCTGCCTTTTGTGAGTTGATATAATCTTAGGCTTACTTGAGAATGGGTTGACTCATCTTGTAGTGAGTGAGTTGGCTAACTCATTTAGTTCATATTTTTTGTTCACACGCTTCGTTTTTGAATGAATGATATAATTTTTAGCTAAATTTATCACATTAGCATTGTCAATGAATTTTGTAAATACTATAACTCCATAATCCTATCAACTTAATTAAAATAATTTAGGCACAATAGTTACCAATTAAGACATTAAACTTAAGTTTAGGATATAGAAACTAAATTTTGCTGCTTAGAAAAGAAAGAGATCAGTGATCCTTTTTACGAATAATCATGATCCAATTGTGATTTTTCTACCAGTTCAATGTCTAGTGAAGTTTGAATTTTAATTATCCAATCAAATTCAAGTTGTAATATTTGTGATACCATATTTCAAGTTGCATGATAAATGACTTACATGCATTTCATACCACTTATATGTGGTTCCTTATGGTAGCCTTGAAATCAAACACATAAAAATAGTAAACAACTTATTGTGTCATCAAACATTTAAATATAATGTAGCACAAATCATACCTATACAATACATTAAATTTATTAGTTTAATCCTACGGGTATGCTTTTGGACTTCAATCAATCCATTTTGAATTTCTTAAGTAATTCTTTAGTATATTTTTCTTGAGTGATGATTTTTTTTAGTGGGTCCACATCATTTGATTGGGTTGACACGAACATTTTTGAATTAACACAAACTAGCTCGTCAACACAAAGTATTAACATGTGTAGTACATTAAGATTTATAGTGGTATGATTTTTATTAGCTTAAGTCTACTTGCCAAGAGACGGAGGCTGCGGGAGCGACGGGAGCGAGCGCATCGCGGCTGGCGGTAGGTGGCGGCAGATGGAGCGAGGGGAGATGGCGGAAAGAGACGGAGGCTGCGGGAGAAGGCGGAGAGAGAAGGAGGCTGCGGGAGAAGGCGGAGAGAGAAGGAGGCTGCGGGAGAAGGCAGAGAGAGAAGGAGGCTGCGGGAGAAGACGAAGAGAGAAGGAACGATGGGCGAAAACAGAGGGAAACGTGGAGCGGTTGGAGGGGGCGGAACGGAAGACAGAGCAATGGGAAACGGCGGAAAAAGGTGGAGGGTTCAGAGGTATAGAGAGAAGATTGGTGCTGATGTTCGTCCTTTGAGCCCTCAGGATTTTTTCCTCCTCTCGGATCCTTATATTCCGCCAGGATCAGGCGTTTTTCACTGCAAGAAGGGGAAGAACAAGAGTGCACGCTTCAAAACGACTTACATCTATCAGGGTGGATACCCCGGATCCTGGAAAATGCCTTGTCCTGCTAGCTAGCCACTGCTAGAACACGTCCAGAATAAGGCGGGAAAAGAGAGAGGAAGAGAGTATTAATACAGGGGGTATAATCACTAAAATGCCCTCCTATCATTTATCGACTTTTCTCCATGCCATTTCTTCCTTTTTTTTTCTGATTGGTTGAGAGCTCCCATGACCTGAATTTCGTGCTTCTCTTTAAGAGGAAAATTACAAGGGTTAGTGGATGACGACAAAACGTGGCCCACATCCCTCTAACTGATCCTCTGAAGCCCAAAACCAGAACTGATCCATTCTGACCCAACGAATAAGTTTTAAGATCCCATGGAGAGCTCCAGGCCACTGGTAGTTATTCCATTTAGTTCTTGTAAATTTCTGTACACATGGAACCTGAGAATATTTATTAATAATAAAATTACTCGACTTCATAGAAGTCAAGCATAGTAAATCAAAAACATACATAATATACATGAAATGATATTCAAATAAAGTTCAGAAATATTCACATAATTTAATTGATATCATGATATATTCAGAATGTAGATGGTTAAACTCATATCAAATGCATAGAATTGTGGGCGCATTTATCATGTTATCAGTCACCATGACAAGACTCAGTCAATTAAAACTGGTTTCCAAAGAGAAGATTCAATGCCGAGCGTTAGAGGACTCCCTGTCTCCCCCTCTCATACGTCGTCTTTTTCGGATAGCACGGTGGACTCGGTGGCCTCACTCTCGGACTGGCCAGAGGAAACCTCTTGGTCATATTCTTGGAAGTTTCACCGAGTTAAAGCGACGTGGAGACTTCCTCTTATCTGTGTCCAACATACGCGGACGGAATCATGGCGACGGACGAAGCAAGTCTGGCGACTTGCTGCACGCCACGCCAGACCTATCGATTAGGACTGAGACGCTACTTTTTCAAGGGTGGGTGGACTTGTTGGGTTTCACCAGGCTGCGGAGGATATCTCTTGATGTAGAGGGCAAGTAGTGGAAGAGATGAGGAGGGCGCGCCGCATTTTTTAAGGCTAGTCCTCCTGGATTAGACGCAATGGGACTGCCCGTTTGACGAAGCGAGGGGCTCTGAAGCAGGTCTGAGAGTCTGCAATGGCCACCTTCTTCTCCGGGGATATGGGAGAGGAAAGACCTCCTTCCCTGGTTAATTGCAGACGAAATTAATTGCAGGGTGTTGGACCGATAAAGTCGAGCTTGGTCTCTACATTCGCGGCGCTTGCATCATCTGTGTCTCGTTTAACCAACAAGAAGATGAGCACACGGCGTGGTGGCCTTTCTGTGACGTCACTGGTTCTGAAGGTCCAGCATGTCGCACGACGATGCTACGAGGTAAACGATGATTTGAATCCTTTTGATCCCGTGATCCTCACTCACCATTTTGGCGAGGCCAGAGAATCTCTCCCATACGACTGTGGTGAAATCGATGAAGCCGAAAGAAGACGATGAGCACCAAGTCTATGGTCATAAATTTGCTCTGCGAGCCCAAGGTTTCAATGGCCTCAGTCGAAGGACGGCAGTGTAGAACACGTCCATCTTAGATAGAGACACGCCGCGAGTGCTTCCAGGAGTCGTCGGTCGTCGGTCGTCGGCCGTCGCTACGCGGAAGATCTCTCTCCGACGACTTACCTCACTCCTCAAGAGGGAACTGGACTACAAAGCCTACGTAGAAACCCCATCTCTTCCTTCCTGATCCGCTCGTCCTCCCTTCCGCGGCAACCCACGCGGAGCAGCCATGACAGGTCGTCCTCCAAGTCCGCCTTGCGGCTGCTACGTCTTCTACCTCCTCTTCCTCCTAGCCCACTCTCTACCCCTCCCTTCTCGAGGTCTTTCTGTGAGACACACCGAGATCCGGCAGTGCAAAATCTACGACTTCGGAGACGGCTTACAAATCAGGTACCCTCTGTGGATCCAAGAAAATTCAGTGGAGGACATTGTCTGTCGGTATTATTGTTTACATGTCGAACACACGGACGGATACCCAGTCCTCCAACTGGGAAGACACAAGTACATGGTCGCCAACGTCAGCTACGAAAAGGCCACCATCATCACCCTCAAGGCCCTCCGCCAAAGTGATCACGGCGGCCAGAGCTCAAGATCCACTGAGGCCAACGATTTCCCTAAGTTTCAGGTCGAGTGTTTCTCCGTCTCCGCTCTTTGTAACATCTCCTGCCTTGAGAGAGGCGAGGGGAGGTTCGAATCCATGAAACCATGTCAAGACGGCAACAGCGGCATCGGCGAGGAGATGCCGGGTCTGAAAGGAGACACCAGACACCACAGCGTAGCTCCGTCGGTGTCAGACTACATGGACTTTTGCGTGGAGGAGGAGGGTCTCCAGGTCGTGTGGAGATCAGCCCCCGATCTCGACAAGAACTGCAGCCATTGCGAGAAGGAAAATGAGAAATGCCTGTACAACCGGACAGCCCAGCAGTATCATTGTAGCTGCTCCACCGGCGAGGGAAAGAACCCGGCTTGCGGATCCAAGAAAGGTACGCTAACTCTCACACCATCTCTTCTCGCTCCACGGATTTACATAGGTTTTAAGATTTTATGGGCATCCACAGTGCCCAAGAAAAGTCTGATTTTTATTTTTCATAGGAAGTACAGCAGTAGCTGTTCGAGCTAGATATAATCAAGCACTAGAATAAGGCTGAATGCTTAGATTCTTATGGGTTCGTAGCCCCATAAATAGGCATGCTTTTCGGGCAGCGAGGTCTTCATTCGTTGGGCCGCTCGGTCGTATGCTAGGTTTCTGGTCCATAAGGGCCACAGATTTGGAAAGGTCCATACGGGCTGTGCGTGTGGCCCATCGGGAGGAGATTTGGCTGGGACTGTGTCCGTTTTGTCCGTCGGGGCTCCTCCTCCTGGCCAGTGTCCGATCAAAATCGAATCTTTGGGCCGGCCTATGAACGGTTTAGTCCCCACCGGCATGGCAGCTCACCGTTGACCTGCGGGTCAACGCCATCAGTCGTCAGCGGAAGAGAAAATCTAGAAGGTGGCACCACGCTCTGCTGGCCTCCACGTAGTACCCATTTGCCGAATACTTTTCCGCCCACAGGAATCCTGCCCTGGCGGTTTCGTCAACGCATGGCGTGAAAGACCACGCGAGCCTCTCTGGTTGGGGTGGATCTTCTCTTAGCTGCCCCGCCGCCAAAGGAGAACAGAAACCATGGGACCGACCGAGAAGAAGACTCCCTCACCTTCCTTCCCTTTCTCGCGGCCTCCTCTTCTTCCTCCTCCCCATCCCTAAACTGTTTGGCCGCGGCCCAGCAAGCTGGAGAAGCAACAATGTCCGGTGCCCGTCTTCATCCTCCGCGCTCCTCTTCCTCCTCCTGGGCCTTCCCCATCTTCTTCTTCCTCCTCTCCCAATCGTCTTCCGGAGCAGACGTCGGCAGCGGGAGCTGCCTCCCCCATGACTGCGGCGACGGCGTGGAGATCAAGTACCCTCTATGGTACAACGACAGCACCGCCATATCCAACGCCTCCACAAATGAGACCATCTGTGGGCATCCCGATTTGGGGATCCGCTGCCAGGACAACAAACCGTTGCTCCACCTGGGTGGAGACATCTACCAGGTCGCCGCCGTTGATTACGAGGAGGGCACCATCACCCTCAAGGACTTGGACCTGCTGGGTGATGACTGCCCCCGGGCTAGGCATAATCTGACCTTGAGTCCCAACATCCCGCTGGTTGCTCGAGACGTCAGTTACATCTTCTTCTTCTTCAACTGCTCCGAGAAACCCATCTTCCCCTGGTACGAAACTCTTTATCCCCTCACCTGCCTTGGCGACAATTCCTACGGCCTCCAGTGGAACATATCCGAAACTCCGTGGAACGCAATTTGGGGTGTTTGGGGTGTTTGCAATGCAAGTGTGGTGTCGCCGGTGAAGAAACCAGACGAACAACGTTGGAATCTGACCACAGATTTTACGAGGATAGTGCAAACCGGTTTTCCTCTGGCACTGAACTTATCGGAGGCGGCCAAGTGCCGCGAGTGCCAAGGGAAAAATTGGACATGCGGGTACGTTCGCAACAGGACTATCACAGCTTTCGCGTTCGCCTGCCTCTGCAACAGAGAGGGTGGAACTTGTACATCTGCATCAGGTATGCTTCCAGATCTCATCTCGTTTTCACGGATCCATAGATTCGGATTGCCCGGGTTATCTCCCTGGGGGGGGGGGGGGGGGGGGCACGCAGAGAAAGACACCAAAATTCAGATGGTTCGCGCGCCACCATTGAGGGGGAGGATTAGGGTACACGAGACATGATGGTGGCAGACGAGACAGGGGGGAGGCGGAAATCGGCTGGAGGAAAGGTAACGTCTTTGAAGCCGGGTGGGTTGCTTGGAGGCGCCTCTGCTATCGCAGTGGTTCGCCCATTATCAGCAAGGCCAACAACCTCTCCATCCTAATCAAGGATTGGGTCGATCCTTCGTCTTGGTCGTAACAGTGACGGCAAAAGCAACGCGATCAGACGAGGTAAGACGGACCGTTTCTCTCATGCCGTCGCTGTCGACCACTAACCCACTTCTTTAGCGAGAGAGAGAGAGAGAGAGAGAGAGAGAGAGAGAGAGAATTTATCTTGACTTCTCTCTCTCTCTACCTCTGCATCTAAAGGTAGGATTTTCAAGGGTGCGCGTCACTGTGGGGCTTTTAAACTGAGGGGATTTCGGTTTGATTATTCATAAAGAATTGCCGGAGATGGCTCGGAGAAGGTTCCTCCGACGAGCTTAGGAAGAAGCTAGGCACCACAGAGAGCACCCAGGTTTTCCAGGATTTGCAGGATTACGATCGGTACCTCGGAGGTAGTATGTTGACCTGGTCATTAAATTTGGTTGTCGGGCGCTGTCAGTCCGAGAGATAATACCTGCAAGTCTTGGATCTTTAGAGGCAGTGGGTATCCCGCCATCTCTGTGAGCGTTTTGAAGGAGAGGGAAGGCCGTTGGATCTTTAGTCTCCCCTTTCCTCCTGGTGGGCGTTGAATTCTTTTCACCAAACCCGCAGTTTGCCGGCGGCTTTGACGTCGTGTCCCTCCCACAACCCATTGGAGAAGGCAGCGACCGAGCCCTCTTCTCCGCCGCCACCTTCCCCTCCTCAATTCGCCGCCTATTTCTCCCTCTACTGTGCTCGAGGAGACCCCTTGGGGCTTCCCTTCGGAACTCTGTGCCATGCTTCTCCTCCTCCTCCTCTTCTCTCTCTTCGCCGGGATTCCCCCGGCGCTGAGCGACCTGCGAGAGTACGCCGATTGCCGGCATCCTCTCCGTCTGCTCTGCGGCGTGTGGAAATTCAACATCAGCTACCCCTTCACGGCGGCGGGGCGGCCGGAATACTGCGGCTTCGGGGAAAAGTACAGGGTGAGATGTGTAGATGACGCTCTGGTAGTCGAGATCAGCGGGAAGAACTACCTCGTCAGCGAGATCAACTACGAAACCAACGTCCTCAGCGTGGTGCCGAAAGATAGTTGCCCCTTACTTGAGCTCGTCTCCCTGGACCTGGGCTCTCTTTTCGAGTACGCCTCCAGCAATCTCAACGTTACGCTCTACAACTGTTCGATAACAGAACGTCTCCAGCAGCAAAGGTTCGCTTGCCTTCCCTTCGCGGAGAGCGAGTTCTACCTCGTTCTAGATGACCCTCTGGCGGAGAGTCCTGCCAAGGATCCGTCGTGCAACTCGATGGGTAGCGTACCAGTACGAAGGGGGCCCGTTGAAGTGCCGAACTTGGACCCTTTTTTGTGGTTCGACGTGAGGTGGAAGGCGGGGGAGAGCTGGTGCAGGGACTGCGTCGACTCTGGGGGAGTCTGCGGGTACAATTCCTCCCAGTCCGATGCGCAGTTCTGCTACTGTAAGGAATCCTCATCCTTGGGCAGATGCACAGAGACTAGAGATAAAGGTACGCCCCCTCTGAGACTTCTATCTCCACCACCGTCGTCGTCGTCGTCGTCTTCCTCCTCCGCCTCCTCCTCCTCCTGCTCTTCGAGCCGTTTCGCTTCCTCCCTCTCTTTTAGTGGACGTCGTTTAGGCCTCTCGGGTGCTTGCCCATCAGCTGAAAGTCCACCTTGTGCGAGCTTCTGGCTGACTCCGGCGTTGAATCTGGTGAGCTTCTGCTTCCCCTTCTGTCCTCGAGTTTTAGGTATTCCGTCAATCATTTGGATGCCCCGGGGGGCCTTATGTCTCCTCTCTCTCTCTCTATCAGCCCGTGTTAGCTAGCAGTCCATGTTGGATCAGACATGTTCAGAAGCCTCTATCCACACCACAACCTCTCTCTTTCGATCACTCACTCTTCTTCTTCTGAGAAGAAAGATGGCCAAGGATTCAAAAGGAAGCGGGTCAGCACCTGCCAAGCGTGACCAGATCAAGCGTTGACTTCGCCGTGCCCACCAGTCTGCTTGCTTCATAAAAATCTAGGGCAAGGTCACCTCAGATTCGATTTTGTCCGTGCAAAGGGGGTACTTTCGCTACTGGTGATCGGACGGTAGCGTTTCAAGCCCTACTGCAAGCAAGGTTTGACTTTGGAACTAGCCGCCGGGTTTCATGGTCGGAGTCCCACCTGTTAACGTCACGCCTTCAACCACGAGCAGCATCAGCCACAGAAATCTGAGGAAGAAGTCCCCCGTGTCCTCCCTCCGCCCATTACCTTCCTCTCCCCTTCTCTTCTTCCCCTGGAATGGATTCATCGAGCCTGCCCACTGATTCTCCTCTGCAGATGAAGATGCCCACTCTGACCGCATGGTCAAAACTAACAGAGCTCTCCCTGAGGCTCGCCCTCTCCTCTTTCCTCCTCTCCTCTCTGGCCTGGGCCGCTGACCTGCCGCCGGACGACTGCTTGCCGAGGCACTGCGGGAATGGGGTCAACGTGAGTTACCCTTTCTGGCTGGACGGCTTCCAACCTTCCCACTGCGGTTTTCCTTCTTTCAAGCTCACCTGCCGGGCAGATTTCCCAGTCGTCCGCATCTTCGAAGATGATTACCACGTTCGGAACATCTTCTACCGCAACCAGTCGTTCCTCGTCTCCAACGTTGGCCTCTCAAGCTCAACCTGCTATGTGCCCCGCGATAATCTCTCGATTACCGCCACTCCCTTCTCCATCGTCCCGGCCCAGAGCAGCCTCTTCTTCCTCCTCGACTGTGAGCCGAATTCGCAGCCTCCTGGTTACGTCCCCATCAATTGCCGTAATGGAAGCAAGGGCCTGTCGTTCGTCGGTAGGGATCAAGTGAACGCATCGGCCTGTAAATCTGTCATTAGCTTCCCTATAGTTGGCCTGGGGGATGGCGGCCTAGAGAAGTATAATGATGCCCTGGATATCCTGAAACCTTTGTCTTTCTCTCTCTAGTTGCAAATTGGACCTGGGTTCTGTACTGCAGATTTATTTTTTTTGTATTTACTTAACGAAGTCGTGTGTTCTTCCAGCTGATTAAGCTCTGTGCTTTGAATCAGGGAAGAAAGGTGTTAAGAGACTTTAACATCGTAGAAGCAGCGAATGGGACTGGTAAGGAAGTTATCAAGAATTTTACTGCCCTTGTAGAGGGCAGCACATTGGAGATCCATTTCAAGTGGTCTGGCAAAGGAACGAATGTCGTTCCGTATAGAAGTGTCTACGGGCCTCTTATATCAGCAATTTCAGTAACACCGAGTATATACATGAACATGTTTTCTGCTCTCCTATTACCATCTGATTGGTTGATTCTAATTATTTTTTTACATTGTAGATTTCAAGAACAAAAAGTTTCCAGTTGGCACTATCATTGGTATTGCTATCGCTTCAACAATATCAGTGATGATGTTGACCATGGGTATCATATGGTTTTGCTTCAGGAGGAAAGCCATTAGGAACGATGGTGAGATTCCATTTAAATTTATCTCTAAATATATGGGGTACATGAATCGGTGTATCTAAAGAAATCTTTGAGGCAGATCTGCACGAGGCAAGTTTTGACTCTTATCCTCTGTGTCAAAAATTAAACTAGCCGTTTTTGCTTATGCTATCTTTTTTTGTATAGATCGTTGTAAAGGAATCCTCATATCTGATGCGAACATAGCCAAATCTGCAGATATATAATTTTTACTCGCAGTACTATGTGCCATCTGTGTAGAGAATTTTAAAATAAAGCAGCGGAACTTTCTGCAGTTTTGTTTTTCTTTTTTGCAACTTGTGGGGCTATCAAGTGCACTTGAATGAAAAGCGAAGAGCATGGTGTTGAGTTTCGGATGTCCTTAGAACGGCATTTCAACCAATATGTCCAAGTGATATCAGAGACTGTTGTCCTGATATCTTTTTTAATGGACCATTCTTGTTATATAGCTCAAACGTCCTGGATGGCCGAAAAGTTCATCAATCCCTAAACGGATTGATGTTCAAGGGGGTTCCTTCCATATTGCTTAGCTTGTGCACAATCCTAGTTCTAATGAAAAGAGTAGACTCTTAGTGTTTCTTCTGGTCGTTGACCTAGCAGTTGTTTATGGTTTAATCGATGCGACGAAAGAGTGGCCATCAGATGGTCTGCATTGGTAGGAGTGACGAATATTTATTCTGAAGACTACTTGAGTAACAAAAATGTACGTAGTAATTTATTGAGGATACTAAATTAAACTGAAGAGAACATCGTACATAGACTTCGTCATAATCTGAGCTTTATTAGACATTTTCAAGCAACCCTTATAACTCCAAAAGTGGATAGCTGATGCGCATTTGTCTGTAAGATAATCTCTAGCATTGAATTTTTATTATACCCATGGTATATATTGTCTTTCTCTTAATTTTTGTGCAGAACTCAAAGCAATGGAGTTGCGGACAAACTGTTTTAGTTTGAAGCAAATTAAAGCTGTAACAAGGAACTTGGACCCTGCAAACAAGATTGGTGAAGGTGGATTTGGTCCTGTTTACAAGGTCAAGCACATAGTCATGAGTTCATTCTGTTTTGTTTTGTATCCAGAATTTAGTCCCGGTGTAATCTTGAGAGCCTAATAATAATACACGCATGTTGAAAACTTTCAGGGGGTTCTACCGGACGGTTCTATGATCGCGGTGAAGCAGCTGTCTTCCAAGTCAAAGCAAGGAAACCGGGAATTTTTGAATGAGATAGGCATGATATCAGCCCTACAGCACCCGAACCTCGTAAGACTTTTTGGGTGCTGCACCGAAGGGAATCAGTTGCTGCTAATATACGAATACATGGAAAATAACAGCCTTGCCCGAGCCCTATATGGTAACCATGTTACGGTTCGGGTTCTTTGTACCTTGTGCCCGCGACTTTCTAGGATTTACCTCTTTAGATTCACATTGTGTGAGGTTATTGCCAGTATGGTGTGAATGTAACAATCACGGTGTTGACAGGTCCCGAAGGGCTGAAGTTGGAACTGGATTGGCAGACGAGGCGTAAAATTTGCATAGGAATAGCAAGGGGATTAGCCTACCTTCACGAAGAGTCGAGGCTAAAGGTTGTTCATAGAGACATCAAAACGACGAATGTCCTTCTCGATAAGGATCTGAACGCGAAGATATCGGACTTCGGACTGGCTAAACTGGACGAAGAGGAGAATACCCACATCAGCACCCGGATAGCAGGGACCATGTAAGCAAACTCTGTGTCTGAAATAATGGATCTCTCGGCTGTTGGTAGAGTGATATAATTCGAGTTGCAGCTCTTCATTCGTTTTGCCGACTGTTCACAGTTGCGACTCATGGGACCTGCAATTGATCATCGATTGATAGTTAGAATCAATGCGCAGCCTTTTTTGTTGTTGTAGTATTATGCTCATTGAGACAAGTTAGTTTCACGAATGTCGCATTCAAAACTCTTTCTTCGTATCTTATTTTCGTCCTACTCGATCCTGCCTTCAAAAGTGTTTAAGGTTACCACCTCCATCCAACACACCGTTCAGTTTTTCCTTCTACGACGGCTATCGCATCTCAGCAATTGGTTCTTGTCATCTGAAGGTCCCTGAAGTGGGGAAGCTCCAATTAGTGATTTATTTCAATATGTTGGAGATGAAAAAGACCGGTTTTTGTTTGGTGATGCTGTCTCCTTTACACTGACGAGCATTTTCCTTGTTTCGTTCCAGGGGTTATATAGCTCCTGAATATGCTTTGAGAGGTTACTTGACGGACAAAGCAGATGTTTACAGCTTTGGCGTGGTCACGTTGGAGATTGTGAGCGGAAAGAGTAACGCCAACTGTCGCATCAAAGAGGATTTCATGTACCTTCTCGATTGGGTATGCGACCTTCGATAACTCTGGACGTACAAGGCCGAGTGCTCAAACCAATTCAGGGTTAAGAGATTTCTTAGCAATGGTTTTTCCATTTTTCTCAGGCCAATGTTCTCCAGGAGAAGGGCGCCCTCCTCGACCTGGTGGACCCCGCCCTGGGTGTCAACTTCTCCACGGAGGAAGCACAGCAGATGCTGGACCTGGCCCTCCTGTGCACCAACCTTACTCCGGCCCTTCGGCCTTCCATGTCCACTGTGGTCGCCATGCTCGAGGACCACACGCCCATTCAGGCCCCGACTATAAAGATCACCCGGACAGAGAGCATGGAGCAGAGGTTTAGGTCCTTGGAGACGATCTCCCAGGATGGGCATAGCCAGGCCGCCACCACGGAAGGGCCGTGCTCAGATTCCACGTTGCCTATGCAGAGAAGCAACAGAGGAGACGACCGCTTCTACTCCACCACAACCCGGCTCCTCGGTGACTGCAAGGATTTCCCCTGGGACAGTGGCTACTCCGAGGACGGGTCATCCCTGGAAAGGCGTTCACAAAAGCTCTCTTGAAATAAAATTCGGAAAGCATCCTCCCTTCTCGGTAAGCTGTTGCATAATTTGGATCTGATGCAAGACTGTGATTGGGCCAGGTAGTACGAAGCAATTCATGGCCGACGTTTATAAAAGTTTGGATTTAATAGGTTCACATGTGTGACTTATCTAGCTAGCTTCATGAGCTAAACTTTCATTAGACTTGAGCCAGTGAAAAGTTAGAATCACTTTAAAATCATGGTTTTTCACAACTAGAGAATTTGAGCGTGTCTACGTAGTCAAACTAGCCAGTGCGTCGACCACTAGTAACATTGGTGTTGACCCTACGCAGTCAATCATGGAGAATGATGGTGTTGTAAGAGAACGGCAGGCGCCATGATGATAGTGCTCGGGCTAGTTATAGTTCTCCCCTTCTTCATAGACGAGCTCCCAAGTATAGATGGCATGATAGGCCTCCGACGCTGCGGAAAATCAGTGATATGAGTCGCCCATAGAGTGCGAGCGAGAGAGAGAGATACAGAGAGAGGTGGTAGTTGATAAAATTATGCAAAACGCGTGATTCTACGTCATAACTTTGACATTGCAGCCATAGATGATGGCCAAGGGTGTTGCCGTCAAAAGGCTACGTCGGCAAGGGAGCGGACTCGTCTCCATGGTCAAATGTCCTCCTCGGGTGAAGGTGGCAACTTGTCTATTATTATGCGAAGGATTACGATGGTAGGCTCTTGTTTCGCAATGCAAATCTTTGAACTTTAGCGTGCATCGACTATTTTGGTCAACCCTGTAGTTATCGAGTTTTTCAATGCCATTGAGTTTGCTGGAAGCATTCTAGGGGTAGTTTCTTAAGGATTGTACAACGTATTTTGGGATTATATATGAATTTGCTTGAAGCATTGATTAATTTTTTATTTGACTTTTTGGAATTTCTGCAGACTATAACCTTTTCATAAATTGTGGAGGTGAAAGTGTGACTGTTGACGGCAACGAATATGAACGTGACACATCACCGGAAGGCATATCCAAGTTTAAGCTTTCCAGCAGTAGAATGTGGGCTTATAGCAGTACAGGAAACTTTATTGGGGGAAGAAGCGACGCATCATTTGTAGCAGAAGCTACATCATTATTGACAATGGCCAATGCAGAATTGTACAAAACTGCTCGTTTGAATCCGCTCTCTCTAAAATACTATGGTCTATGCTTGCAGCCAGGAAGTTATACAGTCCAACTGCACTTTGCTGAAATAGTTTTCACTTCTGGCCGGACATTTGTCAACGTTGGAAGGCGTGTGTTCGATGTATCAATCCAGGTCATTTAGATTCTTTGGACTTACAATCTTCATGAATGCATGTAGTTTATTATTCCTCTTATCCTACAGACATCCATGATACTGTTTTCGATGACTTCCGGACAATCATTCCTGATTATTTTATCCCACAATGTCACCCACGTTGGTCATTTAGTGTCATATCTGCTGATTCTTATTTTTCCTTCGTTCAAACATGCGGCTGTGAATGAAGACAGGATACATGATATCATTTCTTGCATAGGAGAAATCATTTTTGTAACACTTTTCAATTGTGTATTGGTATTCAGCTATTCCCTTTTCTCTTTTCGTGGGTGTTTGTTTCTGAGTACTTGTGCATTGCACTATAGTCTTTGTCTTTCTTTCTAGAGTTGCAAATTGGAGCTGGGTTCTGTACTGCAGATTTTTTTTTTGTATTTACTTAACGAAGTCGTGTGTTCTTCCGGCTGATTAAGCTCTCTGCTTTGAATCAGGGAAGAAAGGTGTTGAGAGACTTTAACATCGTAGAAGCAGCGAATGGGACTGGTAAGGAAGTTATCAAGAATTTTACTGCCCTTGTAGAGGGCAGCACATTGGAGATCCATTTCGTGTGGTCTGGCAAAGGAACGAATTGCGTTCCGTATAGAAGTGTCTACGGGCCTCTTATATCAGCAATTTCAGTAACACCGAGTATGTACATGGAGATGTTTTCTGCTCTCCTATTACTAACTGATTGGTTGATTCTAATTATTTTTTGCATTGTAGATTTCATACCTTGAGTGTTCAAGGAAAAAAAGTTTCCAGTTGGCGCAATCATTGGAATTGCTGTTGCTTCAACAATACCAGTGATGATGATGACCATGGGTATCATATGGTTCTGCTTGAGGAGGAAAGCCATTAGGAACGATGGTGAGATTCCATTTGAATTTATCTCTAAATATATGGAGTACGTGAATCATTATATATAAAATTTTGACTCTTATCCTGTGTGGCAAATTAAAGTTACCCTGCTTGCGTATGCCATCTATTTTTGTATAGATGTTAGTAGTGGTAATCCTCAAAACTAATATGAACATATCCAAATCTGCAGATAAGTAATCTTTACTCGCAGTGCGTATGTGCCTTCTGCAGCTTTGTTTTTCCTTTTCTCAACTTGTTGGGCTACCAAGTGGACTTGAATGAAAAGCGAAGAGCATGGTGTTGAGTTTCGGATGTCCTTAGAACGGCATTTCAACCAATATGTCAAACAGATATCAGATAATGTTGTCGTGATAACTTTGTTAATGAACCATTCTTGTTAACCCTTTTGTAGGTTAGTTATATAGCTCAAACGTCCTGCATGGCCGAAAAGATTATCATTGGGGAAAGGTCTACACCATGTTAGAGCCAGATCTCCCTCTAAACGGATTGATGTTCGAGACGGTTCCAGCCCTATTTAGATTGTGTTTTAATGTAAAGAGTAGACTCTTAGTGTTTCTTTTGTAAGTTGACCTAGCAGTTGTTTATGGTTTAAGCGATGGGACAAAAGGGTGGTCATCAGATGGTTTGCATTGGTAGGAGTGAAGAATATTTATTCTGAAGACTACTTAAGTAGCAAAAATATACGTAGTCATTTATTGAGGATACCGAATGAAACTGAAGAGAACATCATGCATAGACTTGTGACCATCTAATGATTTTTTGAAACATTTCCTACGGTCTATATCCTGTGCTTATTCGACCTTTTCTATAAACCCTCATAATTCCAGAAAGTGAACAAGCTAGCTGATGCGCATTTGTGTGTCAGAGAATCTCCTAGTATTTAACCTTTTATTATACAGGTGGTATATATTGTCTTTTTTCTTATCCTATCTGCAGAACTCAAAGCAATGGAGTTGCGGACAAACTGTTTTAGCTTAAAGCATATTAAAGCTGCCACAAGGAACTTCGAACCTGAAAACAAGATTTGTGAAGGTGGATTTGGTCCTGTTTACAAGGTCAACCACATAGTCATGGGTTCATTCGCTTTCTCTTTATGTCCGAAAGTTTAGTCCTCGTGTAACCCTGAGATCCTAATAATAATACTCGGATGTTGAAAACTTTCAGGGTGTTCTCCCAGATGGTTCTACGATTGCGGTGAAGCAGCTTTCATCCAAGTCAAAGCAAGGAAACCGAGAATTTGTGAATGAGATAGGCATGATATCAGCCCTACAGCACCCAAACCTCGTGAGTCTTTTTGGGTGCTGCACTGAAGGAAACCAGTTGCTGCTAATATACGAATACATGGAAAATAACAGCCTTGCCCGAGCCCTGTTTGGTAACCATATTACGGTTTTTCGTTCCTTGTACTCTGTTCCCGCCACTTTTTGGGATTACGTTGGTTAGACTCATAGTTACGGGTTATTTGCAATATGGTGTGACTGTAATCATCACGGTGTTGACAGGTCCCGAAGGGTTGAAGTTGGAGCTGGATTGGTAAACGAGGCGTAAAATTTGCATAGGAATAGCAAGGGGCTTGGCCTACCTTCAGATAGTTCATAGAGACATCAAAACGACGAATGTCCTTCTTGATAAGGATCTAAACGCAAAGATATCGGACTTCGGACTGGCGAAACTCGACGAAGAGGAGAACACACATATCAGCACCCGGATAGCAGGGACCATGTAAGCGAACCCTGTTTCTGATCTAATGGAATTTTATGTCTGCCCTTTGACTAATGTAATTCGAGTTCCAGCTCTTCATCAGTCTTGATAACTGTTCACACTTGCGCCTTATGACACCTGTAATATCGTTTCGATTATATTAACCATTTCTTTGTGGTTCGAAGCAATGCCCAGTTTCAAGAATGTCTCATTCAGGTTACTTTCTTTGCATCTTATTTTCGTCCTACTTGATCCTGCCTTCAAAAGTCATTTCTTGATCAAAGAAATGTTGAAGTTAAAGCTGAAGTTACCAGCTCCGACACATCCTTCAGTTTTTCACTCTACGTAGGCTATCGTATCGCAGCAATTGGTATTTGTGATCTGAAGGTGCCTGAAAGTGGAGAAGCTCTAATTGATGAATTATTTAAATGCGATGAAGAGAAAAAATCGAGTTTGGTTTGGTGGTTCTGTCCCTCTTATGCTGAAGAGCATTTTCTTTGTTTTCCTCCAGGGGCTATATGACTCCTGAATATGCTCTGAGGGGTTACCTGACGGACAAAGCAGATGTTTACAGCTTTGGTGTGGTCACATTGGAGATTGTGAGTGGAAAGAGTAATGCCAACTATTGTGTCAGAGAGGACTTCATCTACCTTCTCGATTGGGTATGCAACCTTGGAACACTTTGGATGTACAATGATGAGAGTTCAAACCAACCCAGGCTTAAGAGATTTCTTAGTAATGGTTTTTCCATTTTTCTCAGACTAATGTCCTGGACGAGACGGGCGCCCTCCTCGAGCTGGTGGACCCCGCCCTAGGTGGCTTCTTCTCCACGGAGGAAGCGCAGCAGATGCTGAACCTGGCCCTCCTGTGCACCAACCCTACCCCGGCCCTTCGGCCTGCCATGTCCACTGTGGTCACCATCCTCGAGAACCACACGCCCATTCAAGCCCCGACCACGAAGATCACCCGGACAGAGAGCATGGAGCTGAGGTTCAGGTCCTTGGAGACGCTCGCCCAGGATGGCCATAGCCAGATCGTGTCCACGGACGGCCCGCGGGCAGATTCCACGTTGTCTATGCAAAGCAGCAACAGGGGAGACGACCACTTCTACTCCAGCACAACCCGGCTCCTCGGTGACCGCAAGGAGTTCCCCGGGGTCACTGGCTCCTCCGAGGACGTTCACAAAAGCTCTCTTGATATAAGATTCGAACAGAATCTTCCTTTCCTGGTAAGTTGGAGAGAAATTTCCCGAATTTGGGCCAGATGCAGGGCTGTGATTGGGCCGGATTCCATGAAGCAATTCATGAAACGTTTATAAAAGTTTGGATTCTGCGGGCTCAGGCTCGCGCGTGTGACTAATCCGGTCTCATGAGCCAAACTTTCACAAGACCTAGGGAAAAGGTAGAATCACTTTAAATCACGGTGATTCACATCTGAAGGTCTTTAGCTTGTTTAACTAGTCATTCTAGCTAGTATGTTGACCCACTATGTCAACCCCAATAAGTCTATATAGACTCGTTGCTGACTGTGTTGACCTACTATGCCCAGATTTAGTAGAAATTATTTGTTTAAATATACAAAATATTGAAACGTACTAAATCCTAAGTTGGTTAGAGATATTAAGTCCTTCGATGTAAATTATAAAGCTTCAATGGAACCTAAATATCTCGTCGTTACATATTGGAGTACGTATAATAGACCAAATCATTATAAGCTGTGTTTAAGGGAGTCTAAAAGGATCCGAAGAAAATTTCATTAATATATACAAATTTGCTTCAGTATTCTCCTGAAGAAGAGATGACCGACATTAAAAAAATTGCAGCCTAAGGTGCCTGAATTTGTACCATTACTTTGAAATCATGATGAAAAAGTATTGCCCAAATTCTTACAACTAAAATTTTTACGATTGAACATTAATCATAGAATATGACACAATATCATATCTCAAAAGAGATAAATTGTTGAAGCACATAGGAGAGGAAAAGTATGGATTTGATTAGTATAGAGTCTAATTGCCACTGCAAGTTTTATAAGTTTCAAAGTATAAATGACACAATCCTTCATATGAACATCTTGGACATTACATAACTTTTACTAGATGATTAACAAATGATGAATCATTCCACTCCACTATTTGTTGAGCTTCTAGTTGGGAACTTTGAAATGAAATGAAGAACTCGGGCCATCTTGACCGTAGATTGGTGCATATGGAGAGATATTGTTAAAAGGTTTTAAGTTTTTAAAACAAAAAATGATTCTTCACAAGGTTTTCTTATACAAAATTACAACAAGACTAGTTGTCCCTTGGGTTCAAAAAAAAAATGACATGATCTAATGAATGGGCTAAGAAAATCGATAAAACGTTGAATCGAAGATAATGAGAAACTATCAGGTTCTAACATCATGGGCTTACAGACTTGTGAAATATTTTTACTTGGATCAAAATACCTTTCCCTTGGTACATCGTACTATTGACTGAGGATAACTTAGTTAGACTCTTTTGTTTATAAATTAAAAAAATAAGGGTAAGGAAGTTAACTTGTTTCATTTATAAAGAAGATGAATTTAGCAGAAAAACAAGAAATATATAAATCAACTTTCCAAAATAAAGACTAAAAGGCTACAATCAAGAGCTCAAGTGTTTCTGATTTCGGTCAAAGTCTCAACCTCTTTTTAAAGCCTTGAAAAGATCATTCATGATTTCAACGCATTTAATCTATCAGCCTTCTTTTGTCTCTGTTCGTTCGTAATCCCACTCGTTGACACTTCCGTCAGCCCAGAGGCTCATCAAGGCTTTCCACACGGACCTTTACGGTTCTTCTTCTACCAAATTGACCGCTACATTACGAAACTAGGAGACCGTTAAGGAGGAGGTGCCGCCATTTATGAGCTCCGCTTTCCTCGTCAAAACCCAAAACACCCAACATTTATACGCGGACGGATTACCACACACCGGCGGCGCCGGCAAGTAAGACCCGACCCCTCCCCTCTTCTCTCCTTCTTGCGTGCCTGGGCTCGGTCCACGCCGCATGTATAGAGTCCATCTCCGGCCATCCCTCCCTCCCTCCCTCCCTCCCTCCCTCTCATATGTGAGAGGAAATCGCCGGGATAACCAGTTTTCTTCGTTGCTCCTCCCCCACCTACCACTTGTTCTTCGAGCAGGAGACGACGGGGAAGAGGACGAGAAGATAGATGAGAGCAGCTGTACAGGCGGCGCTCCGCCGAGCTATGTTCTTCTTCCTTCTCTTGGCGGCGACTCTGAACTGCAGTCTTGAGGGGAGGGGAGCCCATGCGCAGACTCTCCCCAAGGAGGAAAGTGAGTAATAACGACGAGCGCCCTCCGCTCTGCTCACCCTCGCCATGGAATCGCCAGGAGCTGCTCGCTCCGTTCTCAGCTACGCTCGTCTTCTCGAGCGTGGGGGTTGGGTTGGCGACCATCGCTCAGTTTTTTCCGTCTTAATTGGGCAAAATATTTATTTTCTCGGCTCCGCATCGAGTAAGAAAATTCCGTCAGCAATTCGAAATTGTTTTAGTCGTGTTCGGATACAGAAGAATCTTCGACCTCGGTTCCGTAGTAAGATATTATTCGCAATAATGCCGATATAAGGATTTTATTTATTCATTATGTAAAAATATATAAATTATTATATATTTTTATGTTCCGTAACAGGTTCATCTCTCTCTCTCTCCCTACATTATATATATGTAATTATTCTTCTTATTTCAAGTTCTAACACCACTCGGTGGGCATTGCGCGGGAACGTTCAGTTGAGGCGCTTCAGCAGATCGCTTCAAAGCTGAAGATTCCGGAGACGCTGTGGAACTTCAGCGTGAATCCTTGCACTCAATGGATTAAGGTAGACAGCAACTACACCCACAACGTCACCTGCCAGGAAATCACCACGACCACGACAAACGCGACTGTGAACACCACCGCCTGGCATGTCGTCAAGATGTATGCCCCTGCCGCTGTCCCCTCCTGTGTAGCACTCCCCTTATCTTGTCTCGTCGATGCCCGACTCTGACTGATTCGTTGTTGTCGGGACAAAATTGTGCTCAGCGATATCAAGAAGGCTAATCTGTCTGGAGTGCTGCCGGAGGAGTTCGGCAAACTCAGTCACCTATCCTCTTTGTGCGTTCCCCGACCTAAAGTCTTGTGTTTCTCCATTCTTTCTTTTAAACTTTAACGAACCTAACATCCCCGCGCTCAATTTTCGTATCCTCTGAATCGGCGGAACTGGGCAGTGACCTCTCTCGGAACTACATCAACGGCTCCATACCTGCCACAAATTGGACTTCCCTTCCTCTGAAAAGCTTGTAAATCACCACCATTCCGATCCTTACATCCCCGTCAACGCAAATTTGATTTCTCTATTCCGTGGTCTAGATGGTAGTGGATCTAAGCAAGGGATTTGTTGTGTACCACTGCAGAAACGTTCTGGCAAACCGTATCTCGGGTACGATTCCTGAGGAGATAGGGAATATTACAACGCTTGAAGAACTGTAATGCCTCCATATCCTCTTTGAAAAAAGACATTTTCCTAACGAACCGGCATTGTTTATTTGAAACAGTTGGCAATCGACAAGTTTTATTTCTAATTAAGCCTTTCTTTGAAGCGTCTTGGAGAGCAATATAATGCAAGGGCCTATTCCTCGTGGTCTCGGAAAGTTGGTTGAATTACGGTCACTGTACGCCCCCCCTAGTTTCCGTTCTATTCTACTTTCCCATTGAATTGTTCTTCTTTATGTGAACCAAAGAGAATGGAAAAAACTATTAACTTCTATGATCGTCGCAAATAAATGTGAATATTAAAGAAAATTAATGGAAGACCATCATATTATTGCAGGCTTCTTTCTTGCAACAACTTCTCCGGTGAGCTTCCAGAAACCCTTGGTGACTTGACGAATTTGACGAATTTGTACGCTCTCAACTGTTACATTTTTGGACTCCTTGAATGGTTAAAGGATCCTCTTGTTCTTGATAATCAGTGCTGGACTTTTCTTTTTTCAGTAGGATTGACGGGACTGAGATATCTGGGAAGATACCAAGCTTCATTGGGAACTGGACGAAACTAAACAGACTGTAAGCCCAGCTGTCTTTATTTATCTTTTCCCAGCGCAGTTTATCATCTGAAAAGGATGTCTCTACTACATGCAATTCTCATGAGCTATACGTTTTCTAATGTCGCAGTGACATGCAAGGAACATTCATGGAGGGTCCCTTTCCACCCGAGTTCTCATCATTACAGAAGTTAACGCAGTTGTACGTGTAGCTTTAGCCTTTTCCCGTACTCAGGGGTGTTGTCTGTGTTAGTGGACAGTAGTGATAATAGCTCTGTTGGCTTTTCTTTTGTAGGAGAGTCACTGACCTGAAAAATGCCGGTGGTAGCTTCCCTCCCATTGAGAAACTGTCAGATTTAGAAGAGTTGTAAGACTACGAATGTTATTTATCCACCCGCATGAATATACTTTTGAAAATTTGTTGACAGGTTTCCCTGTGTAAACACTGCCAGGGTTCTGCGAAATTGCTCAATATCTGGCAGCATCCCGGGTTACATTGACACTTTTGCTCAACTGGAAATCCTGTAAGTTCTTATACAAAAATATTTGCATAATTTGTTGTTCGAGCGGTAATCATGTTTGCATTTGACAATTTTCTTTGATATTTTAGGTTAAAAGTCCGTTTCTATGATGCCTTGAATAGGGGGAGACATGCTGCATCTTTTAGTTTGTTTAGAACATCTGCATGTGATCGTCTGCAAGGTCTAGGGGCACTGCCGCAGATATCTCTGGACCACCTCTGTGGTGTAACTTCTTAATTTGAAGCCATCCATGAGCCTGCATTTTAGTATGATCATATTTTTTCGGTCTGTATATTCCCCAAAGGAAGCGTAGCAATCGAGCTTGGTGCAGATTTTTTGTTCAGCTACCCTTGTCTGATGATAGTATGTATATGGCCGTTGATGTTGGCAGTTGTCGGGCGAAATAATATTTGGTCATTCATAACATAGTCTCCAATTTCCTTCTCTACCACAGAGGGAGAAAAACTGTAATCGGGAACCCTAGTCATATCTTATACCATCAAAGATGTGGGAGCCACTGGTTACTAAAGATATAGAAAAGGATTCAGATTTGCACTTATTCTCGGGCCGAATGTAAGTTAATAAATGAGATTGTGGTCGTTACATGTGTAGTGGTATCAACCTTTGGGAGTATTCCATGGTACGTACTCTGAAAAAACCTTTAAAGGTTGGGATTTTTGAGTAATCTTAGAATTGAAACCCATTCGCAGAAAATGAATGAATTTTAAGTTAAAATTCCTATACTATTTTTCACGTAAAACTAGAAAAATAGTCAACTTCATCTTACTTTACATACTTGTTCCCACATCAATGATGTTCATGCAGCCTTTTTTCTCGCTCTCGTAATTGCTAGATTATCATCAATATGGGTTTATCATGTCGATCTTGAAATGAGGACTCGTACCTTGATAATCATTTTTTCTGGTCATAGGGAGAACAATTATTTGTCTCCGCTTTTGCACATTTTTGATGGACTTGTGCTGCAGAGATCTGAGCTTTAATAATTTGACGGGTGAAATACCAAAAAGCTTTGAGAATCTTGGACGCTTAACCACTATGTAAGTGCCTGCAGATTCGATTCAGTCAATGATTCAACTTAATATGCTGGTGGGAAAGTCAGAAGATTTATACCGTTTCTGCTGAAGGAACGTTTTCATGATAATTTTATTGTATCCCGCACTTGGTTTGATTTTGCATAATCAGGTATCTTACAAGCAACAAACTTACTGGATCAATACCCGATTGGATTAGGAGAACCAGAAAGAAGATGTACGTTTGTCTTCCAGGCAATATTTTGCATTTTATGTCCCAGTGAATTTTTTGTTGTGTATGAATCATCATCATAACACAACGTTTAAATGTCAGGGATATTTCTTACAATACATTCACCGATCTTTCATCTGCACCACCTAACTGTGAGCAAGAATCACGGTAAGCATGCTTTTTGTCTGTCGCACCTGTTGCTTTTAATTATTGTGTCTGGAATTAAACTATGTTTACCTAACTTGCAGGAACTACGTTGCCAGCTTTTCATCGACCACAAGTGATTCGTAGGTTTCTGACATTGTTGAAGTCTATATTATATTATGGGTATCTCAAAAGTGTCTAAATGATTCACTCTCTCTGTTCAACCTTTGCAGGATAGCGTCGTGTTTAAAAAAGGACCTCCCCTGTGATGGCACACCTAAAAGTGGGTATAAATCTCCTTTCTACGAGACAGCTTCTGTACCTTTTCAGTTTGATTTTTTTTCTTTTGCATGGTTGGAGGAGAACAACCCTATGATTTGAAACTCTGACATACGAACATGACGTTCTCTTGATTAATTTTTTTTATTTGGCTTTTCGGAACTTCTGCAGACTATAACCTTTTCATAAATTGTGGAGGTGAAAGTGTGATTGTTGACGGCAACGAATATGAACGTGACACATCAGTGGAAGGCACATCCAAGTATGAGGTTTCCAGCAGCGGAAAGTGGGCTTATAGCAGTACAGGATACTTTATTGGGGGAAGAAGCGACGCATCATTTGTAGCAGAAGCTACACCATTATCGGCAATACCCAATGCAGAATTGTACAAAGCTGCTCGTTTGAATCCTCTTTCTCTCAAATACTATGGTCTGTGCTTGCAGCCAGGAAATTATACAGTCAAACTTCACTTTGCTGAAATAGTTTTCACCTCTGGGGCGACATTTGGCAGTCTTGGAAGGCGTGTGTTTGATGTATTAATTCAGGTCATCTGGATTCTTTGAACTTACAATCTTGATGAATGCGTTTAGTTTATTATTTCTCCTTTAGAACCACATCCATGATATGCTTGTCAATCACTTCGAGACGATCATTCCTAATTATTTCGTCCCACAATATCATTCTCTAGCGTGGTTTAGTGTCATATATGCTGATTCTTATTGGAGCTTCGTTCATACATACGGTTGTCATTGAAGACCTCTTCGTAGCTTGGATACATGATATCATTTCTTGAAAACGAGAAATCACTTTCTAACACTTTAAAAATGAGTTCATTGATATTCAGTTATTCCCTTTTCCGGTTCATGGTTTTTTTTTCTGGGTACTTGTGCATTATAGTATGTTGATCCAGCTGAGAAAACTCAGCATTGAAACAGGGAAACAAGGTGTTAAGAGACTTTAACATCGTAGCGGCAGCCAATGGAACTGGTAAGGAAGTTATTAGGAATTTTACTGCCCTTGTCGAGGTTGGCACATTGGAGATCCATTTCGTGTGGTCTGGCAAAGGGACAAATTCCATTCCGGATAGAGGTGTATATGGGCCACTCATATCAGCGATTTCAGTAACACCAGGCATGTATATGGAGATAATTCAGTGCCCCTTCTTTGCTACTTGATTATTTGATTTTGACCTGTTATTTTAATTGTAGATTTCACACCTCGTGTGTTTAAGACCAATAAACTTTCGATCGGTGCTATCGTGGGAATTGTTATTGCGTCAACTGTGTTGGTGATGCTGATGATTTTCGGTCTTGTATGGTTTTACCTTAGAAGGAAAGCCATTGAGAACAATGGTGAGTTATTTTCATATGTTGTGTGTTTACCCAATAAATCTTCATTGCACGAATCATTATATCGAACAGAATCATAAAGTAAAACCTGCATTTATCAGTTTGTATCTGTACTATGTGCGTGTCTTATATTTACAGTATCCTCATTTGTTACTGTTATTTATTCAGTATAGACTGTTTCGTACACCTTTCTTGTCACAGATGCATGTGTCAAATTTTCACATGTTTCCCCTTTATCAGAGCTCAGAGGTCTGGAGTTGCCAACAGGCTCTTTCAGTTTGAGGCAAATTAAAGCTGCCACGGGAAACTTCGACCCTGAAAACAAGATTGGCGAAGGTGGATTTGGTCCGGTTTACAAGGTCAACCATGTGGCCATCGTTTCACTTGGTTTTGCTTTCTGTCCAAAACCCAGTCCTCGTCTAAGTTTGAGGGCCTAATAATACACACACGTTGAAAATTTTCAGGGGGTTCTTCCGGACGGCTCTATGATTGCCGTGAAGCAGCTTTCGTCCAAGTCAAAGCAAGGAAATCGGGAGTTTGTGACTGAGATAGGCATGATATCAGCCCTACAGCATCCAAACCTCGTAAAACTTTTTGGGTGCTGCATTGAAGGAAATCAGTTGCTGCTAATATACGAATACATGGAGAATAACAGCCTTGCCCGAGCCCTATTTGGTAACCATCTTATGATTTCGCGTTCCTAGTACTTTGGGGCCGCTACTTTCTGGGATTTTATTGGTTATGTTTATTGCATGGATTGACTCGTAGTAAGGCGTGAATGTAACAGTCACGATGTTGATAGGTCCCGAAGGGTTAAGGTTGAATCTGGATTGGCAAACGAGGCGTAAAATTTGTATTGGAATAGCAAGGGGCTTGGCCTACCTTCACGAAGAGTCGAGGCTAAAGATAGTTCATAGAGACATCAAAACGACGAATGTTCTTCTTGACAAAGATCTGAACGCGAAGATATCAGACTTCGGGCTGGCGAAACTCGACGAAGAGGAGAATACCCATATCAGCACCAGGATAGCAGGAACCATGTAAGCAAACTGTTTATTTGAAATATTGGATTTTGGGTATGTTATTAGAATTTGGTTATTTGCCTTGAAATTCTTGATATAGTTCTTACTTTTAGAATTATTTATTTATATTCTGTTAATCTTCTCGTAAAATCGTACCCACCACCCCTGCGTACTCTTACCTATCACCCTTTTTCAATCTGTATAGATCATATATATTCCCTGTCATTCTGATGTCCTTTTTCTTTTAGCTTTGGTCGTTGCCATGCTTGTTGAGCTGAGAACATGCTCCTACTGATCCTGTGGCTGTCACTTAAATCTACTTCTTTGCTTGTCATGGTTTTAGACCATACTTAAATTTTCACAATGTAGGTTAAAAGGACTGGATAACAAGAGAAACCTACATCAGGTTGATAATAGGCCCAGATTCTGATTATCACCATGTTAAACAAAATCAAAGCAGTAAATGTTAATGGTGCATTAAAATTGGATAATCTAATCCAAAGTCAACAGAGGTTCTGCCTCGTAGGTACTGAATTGATGCAGTTATTCTTTTTTCTCACTTTCTAATTGAGCGTTCGGTCACAATCTGAAAGGCAAGATGGTTCAGGGTTTCTTATGAAATCTTCATTAGTGGTAAGTCAAAGATCTACTATGATGTGGACTTTCTAAATGTGGGCAAATCTAGACAATATGATTCCTCTCCTGGTCTCCCATTGGATTCTCTTTATGGATCATTAATCTGAATGCTGTACGTTTATTCTCAACCACGTGATGCAGAGGAAAAAACACCAATTTGGTTTGCCACCATTATTATCTCTTACGCTGACAAGTATTTCCTCGTCGTCCTTCAGGGGTTATATGGCTCCTGAGTATGCCATGAGGGGTTACCTGACATACAAAGCAGATGTCTACAGCTTTGGCGTCGTCGCATTGGAGATTGTCAGCGGAAAGAGTAACGCCAAATTTCTCCCCAAAGATGACTACATCTATCTTCTCGATTGGGTACCCGATTTCCTTGCATTCAAACATATTTTAATTTAATAGAAAATCCCTGGAAAACAATCAAGAATCCCGCAATATTTTATATAGCATGCTAATCTTGTTTATATTTTTTTTCTCAGGCCTGTGTGCTCCAGGAGAAGGGCACCCTCCTCGAGCTGGTAGACCCCGCCCTGGGCACCAACTTCTCCATCGAGGAAGCGCAGCAGATGCTGAACCTGGCTCTCTTGTGCACCAACCAGTCCCCGACCCTTCGGCCTGCCATGTCCACTGTGGTCGCCATGCTCGAGGGTCACACGCCCGTTCGAGTCCCCACCATGAAGATCAACCGCACAGATAGCATGGAGCTGAGATTCAGGACCATGGAGACGCTCTCTCGGGATGACGACAGGCAGGCCGTGTCCACTGACGCACCAGTGGCAGATTCATCGTTTTCTATTCAGAGCAGCAAAGAAGACGACTACCCTCGCTCCACCACATCCCGGCTTCTCGATGATTACAGCTAACCTTGAAAGTTCTTCTGTAGCAGGCTTTTGAAGCTTATCCATCGTTCCTACAATGGTGTCGACACCTGATGCTCCCTCCATCGAAATCAGCACAGCTTGGACCGGATGTAGATGGGGAGGGGTGTATAATAGACCATACCATTTTTATTCTTTCTTTTATTGTTTTCCATAGACATACCAAAGATGGTTTTTAAAACTTATTATGATTATTGTGAATTTAAGGTAATGCCCTTTGGATTGTCCAACACCCCAATGACATTTCAATTATTGATGAATTTTATTTTTCACCTTTAAGTAAATTTGTTCCATATACTTTTTGATGATATTCTTGTCTACAATAAAAGGGAATGATCATGAACATCAGCATGCCTTGTAGGTATTGTCTTAAAATTCTTTGTATATTAATACCAAAAATGTTAACTTGGCCAGAAACAAGTAGAGTACATAAGGCATTAGATATCTTTCGAAGGTATTGTCTTGTGCCTAAATGGACACAAGGCATTGACATTTTGAACTTCTGAAAAATATGTTTTTTATTAGTTTAACCAAGCATGACAAGCATTTGAGAAGCTCAAAATGGCTGTCTTTGGTGTTAGTGCTGTCTTTACCCAATTTCTCTCAACTTTTCAATGTTGAGATAAATGCCTCTAATTTAGGAGTTGAGGTGATGCTCATGTAGCTAGGCAAGCCCATTATTTATTGCAGTCAACCATTATGAATGAAATCGAGACCAAAATTAGCATATGAGAGGGAACTAATTGTCATAATATTGATAGTAAATAAATGAAAACAATAGTTGATGTTTCAACACTTTGTTATACAAATTGATTTGTATAGCTTGAAATTCTTATTTAATCAAAGAAAAGTTCATCTTGAATAGCACAAATGGCTAACAAAGTTAATGTGCTTCAATTTCAAAATTAGATAAAAGAAAGAAAAAAGAAACAAGCCATTGATGCTTTATTAAGATGTACTCTTCTTGATGACTCAAAGCTAAATTTGGTATCTACTTCTCATTTCCTTGTCATTTCCAGCATCAATTAGAAGGTGGAGAGAGACACCGCACTCTATCCCATTAAATATGCCTTATTTAATAACTCAAAATTATTTTTTAATTATTTATTACATCACCGATCACTCATGTACAAAGAGAGATTTGTATTATCACCTTTTTCAGTACTTATTCTTACCTTTTTGAAGGAATTCTAGGACAATATAGTTGGGGTACACTCTAGTTACCTCAAGACTTAAAAACAAATTGTTTAATACATTTACTAGTCAAGACTAAAAAATCATGCTCAATAATGATGTGAACAGTTGTCTCATCTCTCAATAATGCAAATCATCCTCACTAGCACTAGAGGGATTATTACAACCACTATTAATTCTAAATCAAACCTTGAAAGACCTCTTGATGAACTTCATTGAAAGGTTGCCCAAATCATTAGGGAATGACTTTATTCTTGTGGTTATTTATGGAATTAATAAATACAATCATCATTTTTTGGCCAAAGATGTTGAAATAAATTTTACTAAAGAGATGTAATTATATGATTTTTCAAATACTATAATTTTTAACTTTAGAGTTGCGTTAGATGTGGCTAAGTGAAACACTAAGATGGGGAATAGGAGTAAATTAATTTAGTGTTTAATTCTATTTTATTATTATTTTTACATGTTTATGTGTCATCACACTTTCTCACACACTTTGTCAACTATATGTTTTCACTTAAGTCAGTCTTCTTTCTTCACAAGTTCACTCTAGTATCTCTTTATCACTTGTAACTATGAGGAACACAAGGTTTTATAGTGTTTCACCTATTATCAGACTATGTCTAGTCTCGAATCATCTCTTTTTTAGGTTTCACTAATTCTTTTAAAAAATATAGTTAATTTCAGGATATCAACAACTCAAAAAATTATGTTCAATCTCCACATATATCACATATCTTGTAAACAAGTTTTGATTCTCAACACCATATGCTTGAGTCAATATATCAATCTCTTTATACATAAATAGTAACACCCCAATGAATTTAATTTAGGAGGAAACATAATTCCACTCAATAATTCTTTTGTAAGTAATTATATACGATTTGATTAGTCAAATTAAGATCTATAAAAATTAAAATAAATATAATTGAATGAAGAAGGCTTTTGAAATTTGAAATCACACAAATAAATTTATCACTAAATAAATTGAAAAAAATTAAGTTGAAAGAAGGAAAGATAAAGTTCCGATCTCATGACAGAGATTGTTAGAATTTTATGTGTTCGAGAATATTATCAAGTGATGTTCACAACCTCAAAGGTTCTCTTTAATGTCAATGTGTCTGAATCTTGAGCATTTGGGGGAGACTATCATGTAATGTCCACGATTGCAAATACTCTTTTTGGACATTGACAATGTGGACACTCTTTAGATCTTCTTGTAAAATTTAAAAATCGACGAGGTGGGTCAATGAATAATCTCCAATGGCTATAATTTCGCACAGTAGAAAAATGACAATTTTGTAGATTTCTAGTAGCTATTACTTGATGAAGATAAGTTAGATAGAGGTGCAACACATGCGTAAATAGCTATCTCTAGAGCTTTATCCTCAAGTTCATATAGTAAGAAAAGGCTTTTCATCACATCTAGTATACATTCAAAAGGTGATGACTTGTCTCTCAATAGATCATCTTCTTCTCGACGACGACTTATTTAATGATTAATTAGAGATAATTTACTTGATGAATTTATGATCTTTTTATATATGATAGACAATTTAAGATAATGATATTCTATGAATTGCGTTGATGAGATTTTTGTCAATGATTGAATAATTTAACAACTTAATCGTTGATCAGCATTCACTAAGAAAATCATGATTTAATGAGATAAAAATTTAAGTTTTGGCTCTTGTGATATTCAAACTCTTGTCGATCCCTTGTTGTATGTGAGAGAGTAAAATAAGTACATGAATACCCTTATAAAGTGACGTTATAGATATATATTATTCTCATAAATAAAGGATATTTTAGGTATTATAATTACTAAAAATCTTATGAAAAGCTATGACATGGGTTTAGTCTCACAATAGTTATTCTTTGAGTTTTGAGATGCATATATAGTAACATGAGATTCCGTCATCAATAAGTGTCTCTCTTGCATGTGTACGACCACTTTTTACCCCCTATTTAATTGGCCACTGATGATGTCGAAGGAGAGAGATGAACATGTGCCCATCGACTCTTAACTTGCTTGTGGTTCCGCTCGATTGAGCTTTTGACCTACCTGCAAGTTGACTAGCAGGTCCTCCTTTTTCTATATTCTTATTTTATTTTATTTTTCTTTATTTATATCAAAAATAAGATTATAAAAATTATATAAATTCACATAAAATCACATAATTAGCTAAAAATTCACATTAACTAACTAAAAAACTATGTTTTATAATTTAACACAAATATAAATCTATTTATCATGAGTTAAACCTTAAATTATATTATTAATTAATTATTAACTTATGGTAATAAAGACTTATCAATCAACAACACGAATTCTAGATGGTAACATGTCAGTATAATATGCGGACTAAATGACAAGGTAAATGATCATATATGAGTTATATTTTGAAAGAGAAAATATTTATTGATTAATTATGTATCTCTAGATAAAATATCAAAGATGATCTATGTAAGAGTGTAAAATTTTAAAGGTCACTAGTACATTAACAGAACAACATAAAGAATTTGAAATTGATGTGATTCTCAAATGTTAAAATGATAGAGAGTGATTAGAAGGTAAATAGAATGGGTTGAGGAATAATGAGAATCAATCATTAATCAAGAAATATTTTATCCCATCTAGTCGATAAGCTTCATCATTTTGCTTATATAATTACAATGATTCAAGTCAATAATTGCATTGAAAGTTGACCCTCTCCATCATACCTTAATATAATTTGAGTGGCGAGGGGAGATAAACATAGGCTAAGACACAAGGTATTAAGAGTTGGAAAGTATCTATGAAAGGTATAGTACTTGAGGAGATTCATGTATTAACTTTGGCATGAGGCATTAAGAGTCAAAGTTTGTCCATAAGGAGTGTGATCTTTTTAGAGATTAGACATGATTATTTAGACCATTGATATCATGAAATGAATTATATTTTTAGAAGAAAATAATGAAATTCAATATGAAAATTTCTCCTAGACTTGACGTAGCCCAGAGAAGAATGAACTCATATAAAAAGTTGTGTCCCTCATACTGATGAGTGGAGAGAGAGAGATGCTGATCTTGTGAAATCAGATATATTTTTAGAAAGAAATAGTGAAATCCAGAATTAAAATACTTTTGAGACAAGACATAGTCCAATGAAGGGTGAACCTATATAAAATAGAGGAGTGGCTTAGATGAACCCATTCACATAGCTGAGAGATTGTGTAAGAATATGTGTTGACACAAGCATACATATAAAATAATGAAATAGAACAAAAAAGTGTTGGGAATTAATTCATCTCCTTCTCTTGGTGTACCACTTAACCACACCAAACCTAATAATTGGCATCAAAATACACTTTGATCAATAGATACTAAAACATCTCAAAGAGTAGATCATGTGGCTAGTGAAATAATTAAATTCTCAAACTTGAGACCACCCATATTTGATGGAATAAATTATACATTCTAAAAGATTAGGGTCATAATTTATGCTTGACTTATGGATCAAAGGTGCAGAAAATGATGGTCCACAAAAGGCTTTGGACAAGATCACTAAGGAAGAGCTCAACATTAAACACTAAAGTCATGAATATCTTGCTTAGTACTATTAATGTATTTGAATTTAATCATGTCTAATTGTGAAATAGTAAAGAAAATTTAAGACAATTTATGAATAACTTATGATGGGTAAGATACTAGGATTGACATCTTAGTAGGTGAGTATGAATTATTTCATATTAGAAAATGAGAGTCCATTAGTGAACTCGTCAAGAGGTTTAATAAAATACTTAATAGCATGAGAAATCTAAGTAAAGTCCTCTGGAATGAGGATGTAAATCAAAAGGTATTCTAGGCATGGATCAATGATTGTATGAAAGAAAAAATCACAATCATAAAATCTAAGAATTTAAATAATATATATTTAATGAAATTGTCAATTCACTATTAACTTGTAAAATAGATGTAGCTAGAAGTAGAACTCTCTCAAGAAAAAGAGGTACAAAAATTACCTTCAAAATTACAAAAATATATAATAAAGATGAAGAGATTGCTTTTCTATCCAAATAATTGACCAAGTTGTAGAAAATTAAGAAAAATCCACATGCAAAAAAGGTACAAAATACCTCACTAAATTTTTTGACAACTTGTGCTTTGAATGTTAGAATGAATGACACTTCAAAGATGACTACCCATTATTAAAGAAGAAAAATTCAAGGAAAAAAAACAGAGGGCAACAATAACTACATGGAGTGACAATGATTACAGCATAGATGAAGAAGTTGAAGAAATAAAGATGAGTACCCATTATTAAAGAAGAAAATTCAAGTAAAAAAATGAAGGGCAACAATAGCTATGTGGAGTGACAATGATTGCAGCATTGATGAATAAGTTGAAGGAAGAAAGATCTATGTCTAATAGTTAAATCAACAAAGATACACATATCTAATTGCTTTCCCTTATATAGTCAATTACAAGATGATATAAATGAGTTAATGGATGCATATGAAACTATTAGACTTTAGTTTAAGCATCACAAAAAGAGAATCTTGGACTTAGAGAGTCAAAAATTTCTCTAGAAAACAGAATTAAGGATGATATCATTCTTACCTAAACCTTAGAGAAAGAAAAATGCCTTATCAAAAAAGTTGCATGTTATAAAAGGAAATTGAGGACACATCCTCTCAGCTAATTCATACCCACCATTACTGAATAGAGAGATAATATAGTTCTCATGGTAGTAGAAAAAATCGAAATAAAAGATGAAGTTAGGAGTCAAAAATTCACTAAAAATTCATGTGATTAGGCCACAAATTGTTTTGCACATGAAAGTGCGATATCTGAACAGTCTAGAAAATCATGTATTGAAAAGAAAAATCAGAAGTTGAGTACATAAATTAAGCAATCTACTAAAATTGACTAGAAAGTAGAAAAGAAATTGTCTAACTTGAGGTTGTACTATGAGAAATTATGTGATAGTCAAAGAGCATTAGATATACTGTTAAGAAGTTAAAAATTATCACTTAGAAAGGAAATATTAGACTATAATCTGAGATCACCAAGAAGTGATTTAAGAAACAAAATTAGACAATTTTTTAGGAATAAAATTAAACCTAAAAGATGATATGTTTGGGTACCTAAGGGTACTTTAGATATACTCAAAGTAATTTCGGTTCATCAATTGAAAAATTAATTATATTTTTCAGAGGGGTCTCTAGTGACCAACCTCACAGTAATATTTGGGAGAGCAGGTGTTTAAGACGCATGACTAGAGATCAAAGTTGGTTCTCCACATTTAAGGTTATGGATGAAGGTGAAGTCACGTTCAAGATGACAAAATAAAGAATATTTATGGGTATTGAGATATTTCATGAAATAATAAATTTGATGTTTAAGATGTTCTTTTTGTTTATGGATTAAAGTAAACTTTGATCAATCTTAGTTAATTTTATAACAATGATATGGAAGTTATATTTAAAAAGAGAAATAATGAATTTTAAATGATACTGATGGTGAATTGTATTCCCTAGTGATAGAATGAAGAATCTCTATGTTCTTGATCTTAAGAAGTTAATTAAGGCTAATGTATATCTCGTAACTGAAAATAATGAAGATGAAATAGATCTTTGATGTGAAAGACAAACATGCAAACATTAGAACAATAGAGAAATTATCAAAATTAGACCTAATTAGAGGACTGACCACCTAATCTCACAAATAAGGAAAAATACACATGTGAGAGTTGCATCAAAGAACAATAAACTAGATAAGAGTTCAAATTGCATGAACTTTTCTTCAAATTATGTGATGAATTAAGAATTACTCATGAATTTTCAGCTTTTTATACTTTTCATCAAAACAAAGTGGTAGAAAGAAAAAGCAAAACACTATCTGATATATCTAGGACTATGATAGCCAAAGGTGACCTCTCTAAATATTTATGGGCTGAAACTATTAGCACAACACATTATGTCACAAATAGAGTGTTGATTAGATCAAGACTAAAGAAAATTCTGTATGAACTTTTAAAGAACAAAAAAATGAATATAAGTTATTTAAGACCATTCGAATAATATTTTATTATTAACAATAGAAAAAATGATGGAAAAGAGGAGTTGAAAAATTGTTCAAAGAAGTGATGAAGGTATATTCAAACTGACATAGAGTTTATTTTCCCTTAATGTGTTTTATTCTCACAAGTTCTGGTATTGATAAGGTAACCATTTTCAAGGGTGAGTTTGTTAGATGTCATTACTTGATCATTAATTAAGGTTTTGTCTTTTCAACATTACACGATCCCCCTAGATTGAGTCTTGAATGGTCCCACATGAGGGCCAAATGTTGTGGTCAAAGGCAACATCTTCAAGGTAGATCTTGTTAAACATATTGGTGTGGGCCATTGTGCTGGACCCCCAACAGATGACAATGATAAAATTATAAATTTTTAATCCCTTTTAGCAATTTATAATGGTTGGGTTAAGGTGTTTTTCCCCGTATAACCTCATACTACTGACCAAGGTAGTACGGCCAAACCCCTTGTCTTTATACAGTCCGGAGGAGGCTTTATCACCTTGACGAGGAGGAGCAGGCTCGAGTGTGAATAGGGGACACCGGAGGGGGGACGTGGCGCCATTGATAAGCTTCGTCATCCTCGTCAACACCCATACGAAAATTATCACCTTGATTTTCTAATGGTTGGAACGCGGCTCTTGAAGGAAACTGGGGTCCGCCGATCGATCCATTCTCCTGGTGCTCGTCAGCCGAGATGTCCGCCTGCACTGCCCCCACGGCGCCACCGGGCGTCCCTGAACCGGGCGTCGTCGTGGGGCCACTGCCCAGTCGTAGGATTCTTGACGGCGACTCTGAACTGCTGTCTCCGGGGCCGGGGAGCCCACGCGCAGACTCTCCCCCTGGAGGAAGGTGAGTTATCCCGACGACCACTCTCCTCCGCTCTGCTCCTCCTCGCCACGGGATCGGCTGCTCTCTCTCTCTCTCTCGCTGTGTTCTTAACTCCTCTTCTCAAGCCTGGGGATTGTGTTGGCGACAATCGGTCAGGTTTTTCGGTTTTAAATGGGGCAAAAAATTTCCCCTCTCGGCGCGCATCGAGTAGGCAAGTTCTCTCGGCAATCTTTCATAACCATTCAGATACAGAACCATCTTCGACCTGATTCATTATTCTCAATAATAACTATACAAGAATTTGCTTCATTCCTTATATATACAAATATAATGTTATTATAGATCTTTATTAATTTTCCCTAACTGTTTCATCTCTCTCTCTCTCCATTCTCAACTTCTCTCGTATTCTCAGACTTGGGGGGGTGGCGACCATCGCTCAGCTTTTTCCACCTTAAACGGACAAAATATTTCCTCTCTTCGCCCGCATCGAATAAGAATCAGAAAATTCTCAAAACGTATTCAGACAGAACCATCTTCGAGCTCCATTCCATAGTAAGATATTATTCGCAATAATGCCGATATCAGGAATTATTTATTCAACTTGTTTCATTTATAAAGACAAGGAATTTATCAGAAAAGCAAGAAATATGTAAATAAAATTTCCAAAATAAAGACTAGAAGGTTACAATCAAGTGTTTATGATTTCACTCAAAGTCTCAACCTCTTTTTAAAGCCTTGAAAAGATCATTCATGATTTCAACGCATTTATGAGCTTCTTTTGTCTCTCTTCGTTAGTAATCCCACTCTTTGATAATTCCTTCATGGGTGTGGGGCCCCAAAGCTCACAGGATCTGACCAGAGGCCCATGAAGGCTCTCCACACGGATCTTTAAGGTTATTCTTCTATCAAATTGATCGCTCCATTATGAAACAAGGAGACCGTTAGGAGGAGTTGCCGTCATTTATGAGCTCCGCTTTCCTCGTCAAACCCCAAAACCTTCATTTCTGCGGGAAGATCTCGCATTGGTTTCTGCAGTTGGTGGAAAGTGACGTGCGAAAGAAAGTCGTCGTCCTTCTCTCGGATGTCGTCAGCTAATTTGCCCACCTGCTCCGCCCCTCCTCCCCCCGGCCGAAGTCAGCTGCCACCGCTGCCGTCCGTCACCATTATGTAGACGGCTTCTTTCAGTATTCATAAATGTCAGCCGGTGCCCCGGAGAAACCAGATAACTAATGCGGGGGAGGGATTAAGATATACCGGCGGCGCCGCCAATAAGACCGCTCCCCTCCCCTCTTCACTCCTTGCGTGTCTGTGATCGGTCTACGCCCCAGGGTGTGGACTCCATCTCCGGCCATCCCTCCCTCCCTCTCATATGTGAGAGGAAATCGCCGGGATAACCAATTTGCTTCGTTACTCCTCCCCACCTACCACCTGTTCCTCGAGCAGGAGACAACAGGGAAGCGGACGAGAAGAGGGATGAGAGCAGCTGCACCGGCGGCGCTCCGCCGAGCTATGTTCTTTTACCTCCTCTTGGCGGCGACTCTGAACTGCAGTCTCGAAGGGCGGGGAGCCCATGCGCAGACTCTCCCCAAGGAGGAAAGTGAGTAATAACGACGAGCGCCCTCCTCCGCTCTGCTCCCACTCGCCATGGAATCGCCAGGAGCTGCTCGCTCCGTTCTCAGCTTTGCTCGTCTTCTCGAGCGTGGGGGTTGGGTTGGCGACCATCGCTCAGTTTTTTCCGTCACGAAATATTTATTTTCTCGGCTCCTCATCGAGTAAGAAAATTGCGTCAGCAATCCGAATTTTTTTCGAAAGTGTTCGGATATAGAACCATCTTCGACCTCGCTTCCGTAGCAAGATATTATTAGCAATAATGCCGATATAAGGATTTTATTTATAGAATATGTATAAATATAACATTATGATATATTTTTCATTTTCCGTAACAGGTTCATTTCTCTCTCTCTCACTCTCTCACTCTCTCTCTCCCTACGTTATATATATATATATATCCTTATTTTGTTCTTATTTCGAGTTCTAACTCTACCCGGTGGGCATCGCGCGGGAACGTTCAGTCGAGGCGCTCAAGCAAATCGCTTCAAAGCTGAAGATTCCGGAGACGCTGTGGAACTTCAGCTTAAATCCTTGCACTCAGTGGATTAAGATAAACGAATCCTTCTTCAACCACCACGTCTACTGCCAGGAAATCACCCCGACCGCGACGAACGCGACCACGAACACCACCTGGCATGTCGTCAGCATGTATGCCCCTGCCGCTGTCCCCGCCAGTGTAGTATTCCCCTTATGTTGTCTCGTCGATCGCGACGCCGACTGATTCGTTGTTGTCTGAACGAAATGGTGTTCAGCGAAATCAAGGCGGCTGATCTGGCTGGAGTGCTGCCGGAGGAGTTCGGCAAGCTCAGTTACCTATCCTTTCTGTACGTTCCCGTACCTAAAGTCTTGTGTTTCCCCATTCTTTCTTTTAAACTTTGGCGAACCTAACATCTCCGCGCTCCATACCTGCCGGAACTTTTCGTATCCTCTGGACTGGCGGAACTGAGCAGTGACCTCTCTCGGAACTACATCAGCGGCTCCATACCTGCCGCAAATTGGACTTCTCTTCCTCTGAAAAACATGTAAATCACCACCATTCCGATCCCTACATCCCCGTCAATGCAAATTCGATTTCTCTATTCTGTGGTTTAGATGGTGGTGTACCTAACCAAGGGCTTTGTTGTGTACCACTGCAGAAACGTCCTGGCAAACCGTATCTCGGGTACGATTCCTGAGGAGATTGGGAACATTAAAACGCTTGAATCACTGTAATGCCTCCATATCCTGTTGGAAAAAAGACATTTTCCCAACAAACCGGCATTGTTTATTAAAAACAGTTGACAATCGACAAGTTTTATTTCTAATTAAGCCTTTCTTTGAAGTTTCCTGGAGAGCAATATGATGCAAGGGCCTCTTCCTCGTAGCCTTGGAAGTTTGTCCAACTTAAAAAGACTGTAAGACTCTAGTCCATGCTACGTTGTTCTTCGGTGATTAATTGTCGTCCTTTACGTCAATCAAAGAAATCAGAGGAAAATGTTTGTCCAAATTATGTGACTAGTTAAAGAAAATGACGGTGCATCAAATAATTTCAGCCTTCTTTCTTGCAACAACTTTTCCGGTGAGCTTCCAGAAACACTGGGTAACCTGAAGAACTTGACAGACATGTACGGTTCCTACGCTGATATTTGTAAGAATCTTTGATGAGATTAATAATTCGCTTAGTATGAATAATCGGTGCCGGATAATGTTTTCAGTCGGCTGGATGGAACCGAGATATCTGGGAAGATACCAAGCTTCATAGGAAACTGGACGCAACTACAAAGACTGTAAGCTCAGCTGTTGTTATTTATCTTTTCCCACCCTATCAATATGAAAATGATGCTTTTACTGCATGGAATTCTCATGAGATGTACGTTTTCTAAGGTTGCAGCGACATGCAAGGAACATCCTTGGAGGGTCCCTTTCCACCCGAGTTCTCATCATTCCAGGCCATAATGGAGTTGTAAGTCTGGCTTTACTCTGTTTCCGTATTTTAGGCTGTTGTCTTTGTTAGGACACTACTGATAATAGTTATGTTGGCTTTCCTTTTTAGGAGAGTCTCTGACCTGAAAAATACGGGCGGTAGCTTCCCTCCCCTTGAGAAACTGATAAGTTTAAAAGAATTGTAAGACTGCGAATGACATTTATTCACCCGCATGAATATATTTTTGACAATTTGTTGATACATTTTTCTATGTAAACACTATCAGGGTCCTCCGAAATTGCTCAATATCTGGCAGCATCCCGGGTTACATTGGCTTATTTACTCAACTGCAAATCCTGTAAGTTCCTTATGCACGAATGTTTTCGTAATCTGTTGTTGAAGCGGTAATGATGTTTGAATTTGACACGTTTTTGAGACGTTTTAGGCTAAAAGTCAGTTTCTATGATGCCTTCAACAGGCGGAGGCATGTTGCATCTTTGTATTAGTTTAGACCATCTGCATGTGATCGGTATGGTTATGTCAGAGTTTTGCAGGGTCTAGGGGAGCTGCCCCAGATACCTCTGGACAACATCGTATGGTGTAAACTCTTAATTTGACGTCATTCATGAGCCTGCGTTTTAGTATGATCTTCTTTTTCGGGTCTTTTTATTTCCCAAACGAAGCATATCAATCGAGACAGGTTCAGATATTTGATTCAGGTCTCCTTGTCTGATGATAGTACGTATATGGCCATTGATGTTCGCAGTTCCAGTTGGTGTTCCCGGAGGTCTTCAATTTCCCTCTGTACCACAGAGGGAAAGAAACTGTAGCCGAGAACTCTAGACATATCCTATACCAGCAAATAGGTGGGAGCCACTGGCTACTAAAGATATAGGAAATTGTTTCATATCGCACTCACTCTGGGGAGTAATTACGTTAATAAATGAGAATGTGGTGGTTAATGCATAGTGATATCGACCTTGGGAGTATTCCATGCTATGTACTCTGAATAGATCCTTAAAAGGTACAACTTTACATAAAAGTTGAAAATTTGTTGACGTCATCTTACTTTACATGTTTGCTCCGGCACCAATGATGTTCCTGCAGCCTTTTTTCTCGCTCTCGTAATTGCTAGATTATCATCAATATGGGTTTTATCATTTGGATCTTAAAAGGAGGACTCGTACTTTGATAGTCATATTTGCTGGTCATAGGGAGAACAATTATTTGTCTCCGCTTTTGCACATTTTTTGATGGACTTGTGCTGCAGAGATCTGAGCTTTAATAATTTGACGGGTGAAATACCAAAAAGCTTTGAGAATCTTGGACGCTTAACCACTATGTAAGTGCCTGCAGATTCGATTCAGTCAATGATTCAGCTTAATATGCTGGTGGGAAAGTCAGAAGATTTATACCGTTTCTGTTGAAGGAACGTTTTCACGATAATTTTATTGTATTCTGCACTTTGTTTGATTTGCATAATCAGGTATCTTACAAGCAACAAACTTACTGGATCAATACCCGAATGGATTAAGAGCACCAGGAAGAATATGTACGTTTGTCTTCCAGGCAATATTTTGCATTTTATGTCCCAGTGAATTTTTTGTTGTGTATGAATCATCATCATAACACAACGTTTAAATGTCAGGGATATTTCTTACAATACATTCACCGATCTTTCATCTGCACCACCTAACTGTGAGCAAGAATCACGGTAAGCATGCTTTTTGTCTGTCGCACCTGTTGCTTTTAATTATTGTGTCTGGAATTAAACTATGTTTACCTAACTTGCAGGAACTACGTTGCCAGCTTTTCATCGACCACAAGTGATTCGTAGGTTTCTGACATTGTTGAAGTCTATATTATACTATGGGTATCTCAAAAGTGTCTAAATGATTCACTCTCTCTGTTCAACCTTTGCAGGATAGCGTCGTGTTTAAAAAAGGACCTCCCCTGTGATGGCACACCTAAAAGTGGGTATAAATCTCCTTTCTACGAGACAGCTTCTGTACCTTTTCAGTTTGATTTTTTTTCTTTTGCATGGTTGGAGGAGAACAACCCTATGATTTGAAACTCTGACATACGAACATGACGTTCTCTTGATTAATTTTTTATTTGGCTTTTCGGAATTTCTGCAGACTATAACCTTTTCATAAATTGTGGAGGTGAAAGTGTGATTGTTGATGGCAATGAGTATGAACGTGACACATCATTGGAAGGCAAATCCAAGTATTTTCTTTCTAGCAGTCGAAAGTGGGCTTACAGCAGTACAGGATACTTTATTTGGGCACCAGACGCACCATTTGTAGAAGAAAATGCATCATTATTCACAATGCCCAATACAGAATTGTACAAAACCGCTCGTTTGAATCCTCTTTCTCTCAAATACTATGGTCTGTGCTTGCAGCCCGGAAATTATACAGTCAAACTGCACTTTGCTGAAATAGTATTCACTCCTCCCCCAACATTTGGCAGTCTTGGAAGGCGTGTGTTTGATGTATCCATCCAGGTGATTTGGATTCTTTGGACTAACAATCCTTATGAATGCACATAGTTTTTTACTATTCCTCTTTTCGATCACTTTAAGACGATCATTCCTAATTATTTCGTCCCACAATATCATTCTCTAGCGTGGTTTGGTGTCACATATGCTGATTCTTATCCGAGCTTCGTTCATACATACGGTTGTCATTGAAGACCTCTTCGTAGCTTGGATACATGACATCATTTCTTGAAAACGAGAAATCATCTTTCTAACACTTCAAAAATTAATTCATTGGTATTCAGTTATTCCCTTTTCCGGTTCATGTGTCTTTTTTTTAGCACTTTTGCATTCTTGTATGTTGATCCAGCTGACAAAACTCTCACCATTGAACCAGGGGAAACAGGTGTTAAGAGACTTTAACATCGTAGCAGCGGCCAATGGAACTGGTAAGGGAGTTATTAGGAATTTTACTGCCCTTGTCGAGGTTGGCACATTGGAGATCCATTTCGTGTGGTCTGGCAAAGGGACTAATTCAATTCCGGATAGAAGTTTATATGGGCCACTCATATCAGCGATTTCAGTAACTCCAAGTATGTATATGGAGATAATTCAGCGTCCCTTATTAGCTACATGATTATTTGATTTTTTCCTTTTATTTTCATTGTAGATTTCACACCTCGTGTGTTTAAGACCAATAAACTTTCGATTGGTGCTACCGTGGGAATTGTTGTTGCGTCAACTGTGTTGGTGATGCTGATGATTTTCGGTCTTGTATGGTTTTACCTTAGGAGGAAAGCCATTGAGAACAACGGTGAGTTATTTTCATATGTTGTGTGTTTACCCAATAAATCTTCATTGCACGAATCATTATATCGAGCAGAATTATAAGTAAAACCTGCATTTATCAGTTTGTATCGGTACTATGTGCGTAACTTATGTTTACAGTATCCTCGTTTGCATTTGTTATGTATGTCTCCAAATGTATGCGATGGAAAATTCCTTATATCTGATAATAACAAGCTTTCACTGTTTCCGCTTTCCCCTTTTATAACTTCTATAGGTAGCAATTGTACCAGATAAAGAAATAATGAGCTTGTTGTTGAGAAATAGTTCCACTAAATAACGAGGGGATATCAGAAATTGGAGACATGACGTGCGTCTCAATGGACCATGCTTTCTAAACTTTGAGAAGACTTTTTGTGCAGGACAAGAGCTGCCCTGAAGATGTTCTTGCGCTGCTAACTATTTTACGCACCATCCTAGTGTTAAAAGCGACCATATTCATGAAATTATTTAGTGTTAGAGCTATGGGATAGTCAGAAGGCCTCCAGTGATGAGAGCAGGGAATGTTCTCTCAAGGGAACGTTCTCCAGAATTAGAGCTTATTGAGCAGCGAAATTGTGGCTAGGGATCCATTCAGCATACTTATTGAAGCTGGAAAGATCTTAGAGGCATAGAGCGTTGACTATCTGATGATCACAAATCCTTTTATACCAATAAGCTGCCTAAAATAATGAAAATAATTCTTGACACCTTCCCTAGAGTTTTCATGATGGGGGTTATGAGATGTTTTCCTTCTATCCATTGTAGCTGCAGGAAAGTTAACCAACTGTTATTTATTCGGCATAGACTGTCTCGTACACCTTTCTTGTCACAGATGCATGTGTCAAACTTTTCACACGTTTCCCCTTTATCAGAGTTCAGAGGTCTGGAGTTGCCAACAGGCTCTTTCAGTTTGAGGCAAATTAAAGCTGCCACGAGAAACTTCGACCCTGAAAACAAGATTGGGGAAGGTGGATTTGGTCCGGTTTACAAGGTCAGCCATGTGGCCATTGTTTCACTTGGTTTTGCTTTCTGTCCAAAACTCAGTCCTCATCGAAGTTTGAGGACCTAATAATACACGCACGTTGAAAATTTTCAGGGGATTCTTCCAGACGGCTCTATGATTGCCGTGAAGCAACTTTCGTCCAAGTCAAAGCAAGGAAATCGGGAGTTTGTGAATGAGATAGGCATGATATCGGCCCTACAGCATCCGAACCTCGTACGACTTTTTGGGTGCTGCATTGAAGGAAATCAGTTGCTGCTAATATACGAATACATGGAGAACAACAGCCTCGCCCGAGCCCTATTTGGTAACCATCTTATGATTTCGCGTTCCTAGTACTTTGGGGCCGCTACTTTCTGGGATTTTATTGGTTATATTTATTATATGAATGACTCGTAGTAAGGCGTGAATGTAACAGTCACGATGTTGATAGGTCCCGAAGGGTTAAGGTTGAATCTGGATTGGCAAACGAGGCGTAAAATTTGTATTGGAATAGCAAGGGGCTTGGCCTACCTTCACGAAGAGTCGAGGCTAAAGATAGTTCATAGAGACATCAAAACGACGAATGTTCTTCTTGACAAAGATCTGAACGCGAAGATATCAGACTTCGGGCTGGCGAAACTCGACGAAGAGGAGAATACCCATATCAGCACCAGGATAGCAGGAACCATGTAAGCAAACTGTTTATTTGAAATATTGGATTTTGGGTATGTTATTAGAATTTGGTTATTTGCCTTGAAATTCTTGATATAGTTCTTACTTTTAGAATTATTTATTTATATTCTATTAATCTTCTCGTAAAATCATACCCACCAACCCTTGCTTAATCTGTATAAATCATATATATCCGCTGTCAAGCTCAGAACTAGCTAATGCTGATCATGTGGCTGTTACTTAAATCTTCTTCTTTGCTTGCATGGTTTAGACCATACTTTAAACTTTCGCAAGGTAGATCAAAGGACTGGATTACAGGAGACGCCTACGTCAGGTTGATTATATACCCATCGTATATGCCCAGATTCTGATTATAACCATGTTAAACAAAATAAAACACGTAAATGTCAATGGTGCATTCGTAGGCACCTTCTGCCTTGTAGGTACTGAATTGATGCAGTTATCCTTTTTCTCACTTTCTAATTGAGCGTTTGGTCACAATCTGAATGGCAAGATGGTTCAGGGTTTTTTTTTAAAATCTTCATTAGTGGTAAGTCAAAGATCTACTATGACTTGGACTTTCTAAATGTGGGCAGATCTAGACAATATGATGGCTCTCCTGGTCTCCCATTGGATTCTCTTTGTGGATAATTAATCTGAATGCTCTGCGTTTATTATCAACCACATGATACACAAGAAAAGCACTAATTTGGTTTGCCACCATTATTATCTCTTATGCTGACAAGCATTTCCTTGCCGTCCTTCAGGGGTTATATGGCTCCTGAGTATGCCACGAGGGGTCACCTGACAGAAAAAGCAGATGTCTACAGCTTTGGCGTCGTCGCATTGGAGATTGTCAGCGGAAAGAGTAACGCCAAATATCTCCCCAAAGATGACTACATCTATCTTCTCGATTGGGTACCCAATCTCCTTGTCCTCTGCTGTACAACGTTGATTGTTCAAACATATTCAAGTTTAAAGGAAAATCCCTGAAAAATAATCAAGAATGCAACAATATTTAAATTCCATGCTAATCTTGTTTGTATTCCTTTTCTCAGGCCTGTGTGCTCCAGGAGAAGGGCACCCTCCTCGACCTGGTCGATCCCGCCCTGGGCACCAACTTCTCCATTGAGGAAGCGCAGCAGATGCTGAACCTAGGCCTCCTGTGCACCAACCAATCCCCGACCCTTCGGCCTGCCATGTCCACTGTCGTCAGCATGCTCGAGGGCCACACGCCCGTGCCAGTCCCCACCATGAAGGTCAACCGCACAGAGAGCATGGAGCTGAGATTCAGGGCGATCGAGACGCCCTCTTGGGATGGTGATAGCCAGGCCGTGTCCATGGGCGCACATATGGCAAATTCCTCCTTTTCTATTCAGAGCAGCAAAGAAGACCTCTTTCGCTCCACCACTTCCCGGCTTCTCGATGATTTCGGGTAGCCTTGATGCTGAGATTGCATATATTAAATATTGATTCTTGTAAGGTATGTTTGTGATTTCATGTTGTACAAAAACTCTATCTTTCCCAAATCAATCAGTGAGGTTTTTTCTCCATCGTCCGCTCTCCACCACCTCACCTCGCCCCTCTCTCTCTCTCTCGTCTCGTTTGCCCTCCAACCCGCGGGGGCATCGTTTCGTCAGCGTATTCTGCGACCTTTCTCCTCCGATGTGACCACACTCGCCAACACATTTCCACACTCTCTACTCGACCAAGTCATTGCTTGGTTCTCTTCACTTGAAAGTCCTTTTGAAGCTTATCCATTTCTTAGAGCGATGTCGACACCTGATGCTCCCTACATCGAAATCAGCGCAGCTTGGACCCGATGTTGACCATACCATTTTTTATTCTTTCTTTTATTGTTTTCCATTGACTTTATTATTAACCACTTGATGAGGCACGGCTATTGCCGCCCCATTAGCCCCATCTGCAGCTTATTCCAAGAATAGTGGGCTGTGCCAGATATTCACCAGAGTTTAGTCTGTTGAGCTTATATCTTTGGTATTTAGAGGAGATAGTCGTTCCTGATTGGTGGTCAACGATAAAAAATGGTCTGACTTTGGTGGATGGGTGGGTGTTCTAATGTTGGTCTATTTGGCCGTGGGTAATTTATTTTTATATCACTTTTTTATGTTGCATGCGGGCAAATTTCATTTCTGCATATTCATTGCTGTGGATAAACTGACCATCGTGGAGGGTGGATTCGGTAAAGGTCACCATCAGTTCAGTCAACTGGGAACGTGGTCAATGGCCGTGTGGGTCAACGGCCACGTTTGCATGGAAGGCTCATGATGTCCACAGTTAATATTATTCGATAGCTGATTACGGCTAACTGTCAATAGGCAAGCTTGAGCGTGCAATTATGTAGGGTAGGGAATATACGCGAACTAATTTCCCTAGATGTTATTAGTAATTCCCTAAGAAAACATTGGTCGTCAAACTAGGTACAAATGAGGTCATCGAAGTCAATAGACCTAACGTTATCAGATTATCAAAACACCTATATCACATCACAAAGTAAATGTGATTTAAGCAAATGTAACGATGTTTCTACTGCAATGTGAGATTTGCCTGAGGACATCGATGCAAATGGGAACCTAACATCTTTATTGTGCAGAAAGATGAAAGTGATCAAGAAGAAAACAAAGACAACGGCTAGTTGACGTTTGAAGAAGATAAACATGCTGAAGCCACTCTACACGTGGCCCATGTATCCTTAAACTCTGTCATAGGACTTACACAACATGGGGTACTATTAAGTTGGGAGATATTATACACATAATGAAGTTATCAGAATTCTTATAAATAGTGGAGTTACTCATAATTCCTTGTGCAGAAAACTACTAAAATAACTAACATTATAGATCAATGAATTACATATTTATGAAATCATGTTGGGAATGGAGACATTGTGCATGGGACTGAAATTTGTCATAATGTGCTGATAAAAATTCATGACCTTATGATCATCTAAATTTTTTTACCCCTTGATATGAGCAGCATAGATATAATATTTGGTGTTTAATGGTTGAAGACACTGGGTTACATTCAATCAAACTATGACTACCTTCTCATGAAGTTTATGCTCAAAGACCTTTGAAAGGTAATCCTAGTCCCAGCAAAAAAGTCATGATCTTAAAAATAAATGGACTAAGAGTTTAGAAAAATTCAAACTTATATAGTTGAATTACATCAAGTTTCAACTTATGAGGATTGTAGCTTTTCTAGTAGGGCTCAATCAAACACATCATCGATCAGTCAATCAACGTCATCGTAAACACTCAACCAATCGACCTCAGACAATACCTGCATTTTTACTTTTAAAAAAATGGGATTTAAAGACGTTCAATTATTATTTTCAATATGGATAATTCGTCGCTCTAACAGCCGCAAGCCATGTTTATTAGTAAAATGAAGGATAGAAGTTGATGGTTTTCTATTGATTACTAAGCCTTAAACAAAATCAGTGCCAAATAAATTTTCAATTCTAGTGGTTGACGAATTATTAGACAAGTTATATGGTATGTTCATAATATCTAAACATTTTTTAAAATCAAGATACCATCATGCACATATAAAGTAAGATCTCAAACCAAAGATGGCTTTTAAAACTCATTATAGCCATTATGAATTTAAGATGATGCTCTTCAAATTGTCAAATGCCTCAAGTATATTTTAATTATTGATGAATTATTATTTTTACCCTTAGATCGATTTGTCCTAGTACTTTTTAATGATACTTTTGTCTACAAAAAAACTAAGGATGATAACAAACATGACCTACAATAGGTCTTCTATGTATTGTCTTAAAATTATTTGCATATTAATGCCAAAAATATCCTTTTGTCCAGCAGCAAATGAAGTACCTAGGGCATTGAATATCTCCCAAAGGCATGTGTATGAACACAAGGAAGAACCTCAACCATTATCAATCAACTTGTGCCCAAAAACCCCTATGAGTTAAGAGGGTTCTTATGGCTGGCTGGATACTATCACATGTTTGTAACTGGGTGTGCATATTGCCTAGCCTCTTAATCAACTTCTGAAAGCTAATATTTTTCATTGGTCTTACCAAACACAACAAACATTTGAAGAGCTCAAGAAAAGTATGTTGGCTTTGTTTAATTTCTCTCAACCTTTCACTGTTGAGACAAATGGCTCAAGTTTAGGACTCAAGGTGGTGCTCATGTAGCAAGGCAAGCCCATTGCTTACTTCAATCAACCATTACCAATGAAATCAAGATCAAAATTGGCATACAAAAGGGAACTAATTGTTAACATTGGTAGTACATAAATAAAAATAATAATTACTATTTTAGCACTTTATAATATGGATTATTATTATAGCTCTCTTGAAGTTAATAGACTTCAACTTCAACCTCAACTTCAAAATTAAATACTTTGAAGTTGACAAAGTTAAATACAGCTTCAAAAGTTGACAAAGCTAATAGACTTCAACTTTGAAATTAAATACAAGGAAAAAGAAACAAAGTCATCAATGCTCTCTCAAGATCTCCTCTCCTTGTTGACTCAAGGATGAATTTGGTATCTACTTCTCATTTCCTTGACATTGCCACTATCAACTAAGAGGTGAAAAAGGACACCAGACTCTACCCCATCAAACATGTCTTACTCAACAACTCATAATCATTTCTCAATTATTCATTACATAAGATAACACTCTTTTACAAAGAGAGAATGGTATTACTCCCTTCCTCATCACTTGTTCTGATTTTTTGAAAAAAATCCATATCAATGTAGTTGGGGACACTTTTATTTCCTTATGACTTACAAATGAATTATTCAACACTGTACTAATTAGGACTAAAGAAGCAAATTAAGCAACTAATGAATGACAACCTCATTTTCCAATAATATAAATCACCTCACTAAGACTAGAAGAATCATTACAACCACTATCAATTCCAAATCAAATATTAGAGGACCTCTCGATGAACTTCATCAAAAGGTTGTACAAGTCATTAACGATTGACTCTATTCTCGAGGTTATTGATTATATCATTACATGGTTTTTCAAATGTTATATTGTCTAATTGTGGTAGTATTTTTACTAGCACATTTTATTGAGAATCTGAATTGAGGATGAGTTCATTGTACCATCTTCAAATTGACAATCTAACTAAAGTTGTTAGCAAATACTTAGAGAATTACTTAAGGTGTTTTAAAGCTAACAAGCCTAAACAATGGCCATAATTGCTACATTGGGCTAAGCTCAACTATGACACTTCCTACCACACATCTATAAAGATGGCGCCATTTAGTGCAGTTTATGGACTAGATCCACCCACATTCATTCATTACAAATTGACTCCTCCCACTGATGAAGTGGATGAACTTTTCATTGTAAGAGATTATATTATGAAGCTCCTCAAGCTATATCTTAAACAAGTTCAAGTCCAAATGAAAACCTAGACAAAAATATTGATGGGACATTCAATTTGATGTGGATGACTATGTTCATTTGAAACTCAGACCCTATAGAAAATGATCACTTATTAAGAAAGAAAATGAAAGAATTAGCTCAAGGTATTCTTGACTTTATCATAGTCTAGAAAGAGTTGGGTCAATACTTTACAAGTTTGATCTTCTCTTCTACTGATTTTTTCACCTGGTATTTGATGTGACTTAGTCGTTGTATAATAAATCACACAAATTTAAAATTTATAAAATTAGAAAATATGAATTTTTAGATATTTAAAAGTATTTCTAAAAAAATATATTAATTATAATTTAATAAAAACTTCCGAAAAATAGTGATAATTATTCAAATCGATCACAGGGATGTAATCTAATATTAGGTAATTATTCATAATTTTCTTTAAATAATAATATTTTCTATAAATTTTACACTACAAAATAAAAATAAAATAGATTTAAAATTTACAAAAAAGAAAAATAAGGGTGCAGAAATCAAGATGACGTTAGCACCCAACGAATGTGAATCTAGTAGAAATAGAGTTCCGTCTGATGATTCTTACGTAAGTAATTATAGATAATTTAATTAATTAAATTAAGATCTATAAAAACTAAAATAATCGTAATTGAATTAAGTATATCTTGATAAATTTAAATCACACAAATTATCATTAAATGAAGTAGAAATTAAGTTCAAAGTAGAAAATTAGAGTTCCGACGTCACGGAGGTGATGCGTTAGTGATGCACCGGAATCTTGAGCGTTCAAGAGGATTGTCATGCAGTGTCCACGACCTCGAAGGTTCTTCTTGAAAAAAGATGACGTGGGCAATCTTTAAATCTCTTTGCAAAGTCTAGAAATCAATGAAATGAGTCATCGAATCATCTCCGATAGCTATTACCCGACGGAGCAGAAAAACAACGACTTTGTGGCTCTCTGGCGATTGTCACTTGATGGAGAAGAGTTGGATGGAAGTGGGGCATGTGTCAAAGAGCTTCATCCTTACG